TATCAACACACTTCACTATTCACTATAATAGTGGAGTGATGTCTATGGCCTTGGCTAAAAAAATTGATTGCCTTCGAATTAGGGGTGCTTTGGTATTTTCACATGTTTTATTTGTCATTATTGATTTGTTTAGGGTGTTTCCGTCTATTCATCATTTTAATGAATAGTAAAATAACTAAAATATCCCCAAGAATAAAAAAAATATCAATTGTTTCGAAGAGGGGTATTTAGGTATTTTTGTTTTTTAATACACAATGCAATTACACATGTACCCTTAAATCAAAGAGATTTAATTCATCGGTGTCAGGGTCAAGGGTATTGGAGTCTTTTGGTCTCTGTTTTTTTGTTAATTGTTTGTTTAGTTGAGTGTAATGTTGTTATTAAACATTAAAATAATATTTTTTTAATTGGAAAAAAGTTGATGGTACGTTCACATCACGTGGGAGCCACTGCGCATTTTGAGCAGCGTGTGCAACAACTCTTAGTGGTAAAAAAATAAGCTATGGCAGTATCATTTTATTCCTCATCATCTCCTCTTCCACAATAGGTGGCGCGTGTAATCAAAATGTGGTCAGTTTATTGCTAGTGACCTCTTTTTTTCCATTTATTTCTCTCTCCTACCACCAGAAAAGCACTATGGTCCTCATTTTTATTAGTATTTCAAATTCAGTCCATTTAGTTTTGATTTTAGTATTTTTATCACTTTTTTTTTGTTAAAGTTTTATTTGTTTTCAATTTAACATTTGGTTTCTAATTTGTATATACAATATGTTTCGATTCAGTCCTTTTACTTTGAATTTCTTGTATTTTTTCTTAGTTCTTTTATTAAAGTTTTTATTGCTTTCAATTTTATTCTTCGAATCAAGTTTATGGTTTTTTGTTTTTTCAATGAGAATAATAATGATTTCAATTTGATCCATCTTATTTTAATTTCTTATTGTTTTCCTTGGCCTTTTTGTCAAAGTTTTTATAGTTTTCAATTATATCCTTCAATGATGATGATGATCATAATAAAGAATTAGTAATAATAATGATGATGATGGTATTATTAATGATGATAATTAAGTTAGTGATGATGATAATTAAGTTAGTGATGATGATAATTAAGTTAGTGATGATGATAATTAAGTTAGTGATGATGATAATTAAGTTAGTGATGATGATAATTAAGTTAGTGATGATGATAATTAAGTTAGTGATGATGATGATAGTGGTAGTAATAATACTACTACTACTACTACTACTAATAATAATACTAATAATAATAATAATAATAACGGTAATAACAATAGTGATAATATTTATGATATTAATAGTTGTGATGATAGTAAGAATTGTGGTAATAATAGTAACAATATTAATAGTGATAGTAATAACAATAATAGCAATAATAAAAGTATTAATTTTAATAATAATAAAAATGATATTAATAATAGTAGTAGTGATGATTTTGATCATTATTTTCCGAATTGCTATTTTTTTTCAATCTTTTTGTACAATTGAAAGTATTTTTTTTAATATTTGTTTTTTTGGAAATTGGATTTTATAGTTTTTCTAGATTGAGGTCTGATGACCTTGATTATAAATTTAAAAAGTTAACATATTTATTATAAAAAAAAAAAAAAGCTTTATGATTGGCTTAGTTTCAATTAGCATTGTTATACATTTGTCATGACAATTTTTCATATTATTTTTTAACCTCATTTCAATACCTAAACATTATCTTTTTTGCAAAAAAATAGTTCAACCTCGTGGCAAAGCCTATTCACCAAAAATATTATGAACTTCATTTCAATACCTAAACATTATCTTTTTTGCAAAAAAATAGTTCAACCTCGTGGCAAAGCCTATTCACCAAAAATATTATGAACTAAAGCTCGTGTTTCAAAGTTTGTGAAAGCATTGGTATACCTGCATTAGTGACATGTCAATGCAAACACCACCTTGAGGTGATAAGGTGTGCCCCTCTATTGATGTAGCTCCACCATATGGTACAATTGGAACCTGCTTAAATAAAACAAATCCAGCTTAGAACCACTTAAATGGTTACACCAGCGGAGTAGAGCAAGCAAATGGAAAAGGCAACAAAATTGAGAAGTAAACACGAAGCAAAACCAATTATAATAGAAATACAAGTTCTTGATAGCAAAAACGTTCCAAAAATCTAAAAGGATACAAAAAACACACACGCACACAAAATGAGCTCAGACCTTATGTTTGTCGCAAGATTTCACAATGTTGGAAACTTCCTCTTCTGACCTGCATGCGTGAAATATGAATTGCAGAGCATTTTGAGAAGCAAGCCATCCAGATGATTTCAAAGAATAAGTGCAAACAAGGACTTTACACAGAACTTCATGATCTATCAACTCTCTTTTCTTGTATATGATATGCTTATTCAGATCAATGTTATGCATCTTACGCACTCAAACAGACGAAGCATATGCACTTGTTTTCTTAAAAAGTCACACAAAGGGAGGCATTCTCTCCTCTGAATACTTCATAGATTCTCTAACTATACCATTCTGTTGCGACTGGATGCAGACCTAACTTAACAGGTGTGTATTGCAAAGCTCATTTATAACATCATCGACATTCTACTCTCTTTACTCCTCATCCTTTTGGCCTAAATCATAATTTCACGAGGCACGTTACCGCAAGCATTAATGACCAAAATTATCAAGAACACAACACGGCGAACATAAGATCAATAATCAAGCTCACCTTGGGAAAACAACGACGTCCGGAATATTTACAGCTTTATGAAAACTGTGTTGCGGTTTTCCATGGAAATACCTCTCATCATAATCCATACTCATGTTATCCTACAAGATATTAATTACAAAGCTCAAATTATCTATTTAATTGCAGCTATGTAATTGCATCTCTAAAGTAAAATTGAAAAATAAAATACTTGACAAATAGCTTTTAATTCTTCAATAAGCTCTTGCGGTAAATGCTTGTGAGATCCTTTTACCACAAACTCCGTGCTTCCTTTTCCTCCAATTCCTCTGCTTCTTAAAAACAGCAGGAAAAAGGAAAAAAAAAACATTACTCTTAATATTTAAAATTGAAGAGGTCAATGATTATCCACTAAATTAGAAAAGAAAAAAAGAGAGAGAGAAATGAACTGACGGGGAATCGAGAGAAGCATCGCAGAGAGGAGGCGGAGATTGGAAGTGAATAGCGAGCGATCCAGCGAGAGTGATAGGGAGGAGAGAGTTTGAGCAGGTAAAACGGAACGGATTCTGTTTAGAGAAATGATATGGAGAGGTGATTGCTGTAGTGTTTGCTCCTCGAGTTCGGAGATGGTGGAAGAATGAGGTGCGGAGGTTGGTGATGGTTTTTGAATAGGAGGAGCGTAGGCGAGAAAGCCAGCAAGTGAAAGCCATTTGATTTCAGTGAGAGACACCGGATACTGGAAGAGAGATGGATCTTGTAAATAGGAGGAGGAAATTTTTTGAAAATAATGTAAATGGCGTGATGCTTTTTCTTTTTTTTTCATTTTTTCACTTACTTGGAATTTAATTATATACCAGTCACTGTATTTAATCAAAACTAATTAATTAATCTATTTAATATCAACAACAATTAACATAATCTTTCATCTTAAACTATTTATTTTTAAATTTTAAAAATATTTTTAAATCATTTTAATAAATTAATATCAAAAATAATTTTAAAAATTAACCCCAACAACATTCCAAACATTCTATTAATATTGATCATCTTCAATTTAATAAGTTTTTTATTCTGAAATTGCCACGCTTCCTACCAAACTTTCCCATCTTATCTACTCTTCTTTTTCTTTTTCAATTTTTCAAGATAAACAAATGGAAAAAAAAAAAAACAGAATTAACAAAAAGGCTAAGTATTAAATAGAAGAAAACAAATAATTGACTATATGGTTTTTACTTCTTATAATAATAATAATTATTATTATTATTATGGACCCTACATCCAATAAATAGTGTTTAACTAATTAAAGAATTAAATTGTGATTAAATATTAGACACGCAAGCATTCCCTTTATAACCACGTCTAGATACATGGACAGGTCCCATCGCACTTCCTTGTCAAAAAAGGACTCCATGGGGCGCGTCCGTTTTCCAAGCTTGTGGAAATGGGCCAAATGGATGGAGAAACGTTTGTTTTTATAGTGCTCTGTGATTTTATTATCTATCATCTTTTTGTTTTTTTTTTTTTTTTTCACTTAATGTCTTTCTTCTTCGCACTTGCTCTCTCTCCCAATGTTATTCCTCCTCTCTCTCTCTCTTCACATGTCTATCTAGCTTAATGATACTTCGCTGCCACAATTTCTACTACTAAATAGGTTTATGATATTTAAGTTATTTTAATGATATTTAAATTTGATTTTTAACTTATATTGTTATTTTTTAAAAAGTATTTTTAACATCAATACATTAAAATAATTTAAAAATAAAACAAAAGATATTCATTTGAAACTTTAGCGTTTTATTTATATATAGCTTGTTGAAAAGTATAATTATGATTGTTTTTAAAGTATTTTTTATTTAGAAATATATTAAAATAATATATTTTATTTTAAAAAAATTATTTTTGATATTAATATATTAAAATAATATAAAAACAAAAACAATATTAATTTAAAAAAATATAAAAAATCTAAATTTAAAAAAAAATATTTTTAAAACACAATAACCAACCATATTTAAACTTAAAACTTTAAAACTTTGAACTTTGCATTGTCTTTCACGAGTATGTTTCTGTAAATCACCCGTCCAAGGGTACTGAAACATGCCATTGAACAACGTTGTTTTGAAACCTGCGAGGACAAGATGTGTACTGGCTGCATTATCGGCATGGCTGTGTTTCTAAAAAAAAATTATTTTTTTTACTATTTTTGTTTTGTTTTAATTGCAAAAATAAATTTTATAAAATAAAAAAATATTATTTTAAAATATTCATAAGATAAAAAAATATTATAAAAAAGCAAACACCACCACATAAAAATAATAAAAAGAGAAATACAAAAACATTAACAAGATGAAACAACAGAGGAAAGTGAAAAGCTGTTCAAACAGAGACATGGAAGGAGTTAAGCGGGGGATCATCAAAATTCATAAAAAGAAATCCCAAGTAATTCGATAGAAATTACTTGGTGCTGACCAAATCGAGGTTCTCTGGCAAAAATTACTTGGTGCTGATAAATATTCATTGTCTTATTTTCTAGTCTTCCTTTCCTTTCCTCCATTGTAATCTCGAATTACAATAGCGGTAGCTAAGCAGGCTGCTCACTTGGAAACATTCCAAAATGATCTTTAATTGGGTCTAGCTCAAAACCACCAAGAAATCCACAGCCTGCTTGAACTATGATATTCATCTCAAGCAACTCTGAGCTCAACCACTTGAGGTACACTTCCAGAATTCCCTCCTCCATTCAAGCCTTCCACAATCAATAGCCAATCGCATATTTGGTCTGTAAATCCCAATACTCCCTGGTTTGCTTTACGGTCTCAGCACGTTCAGCAACCATCCTCTCCTTCCAGAGCTCTTTGCACCTGAAAGATTATGACAATCAGAAATTGTAAAATCTTCAACAAGAGAGTGGAATATTAGTTTCTTCACCTTCTTTTCACAAGCAGATCAAGCTCCAACATGTGCACTGCGTTAGTGTATACCCCAGCCTGCATAGGATGGTAAGCAAACTTGAGATCAATTCATGCCAGAAAATTCATTTTCTTTAGAAACAAAACAACCTGGACAGCAAACAAGCATGCTACCTATATTAAGCAGTGTTCACTCCAACAAAGTAAAATAGCAGATCTCTTCAGGTTGATTAGTTAATCTTATGAGACAGAAACATAAATGTTAGAAAGAAAAGAAGGATAATTTTTTCCAGACTCAATCCACTCAATGAAAGGTAAGGTGTTTCATTACTGCACTAGTTAGAACAATCCATGCTTCCAAGGAAGATTCACCACCTGCAAACCTCTCATGGCAAACAAGAAAGACAACTAGCAACATTGAAGATCCCAAGAGAGTTGAACTTACTGAAACCTTTTTTCTTTGTACCCACCGAGATATTATAACCATTGCACCCAATGTAAGAAACCAACCATGCATGGTGTATGACTCGTTCCTTTCTGCTGTTGAAACAAAAGAGGCCCTAGAAGAGCACAAGATACCTCTAGTAATGCACATTGTCTCAGGTAATACAACAAAAGCACCTTCAGAGTAAGTAGCCGCTTCAAGTTCCTACTCAGAATATGCCTTGAACAATCCTATACACCAGGGAATCAATCCGCGTAGGGCATAACTTTGCCGTTGAAACAAAAGAGGGCCTAGAAGTGCACAAGGTAGCTCTAGTAATATACGTTGTCTCAGGTGATATACCAAAAGCACCTTCAGAGTAAGTAGCTGCTTCAAGCTCCTACTTAGTATATGCCTTGAAAATCTTATCCCCCAGGGAATCAGTCTTTGTGAGGCATAATAGTTCTTATCCGGATAATAATTATTTGCAACCATCAGGAATTAGAAGGTGGGACGGTCACCATTACACTATCTCCTAAAGTATCAAAATATTATAATTTTTACACACGATCAGAACACAGTATTGTAATCCATTGAGAGAGGACAACGAATTTATGAGATTTCATCACCCTGTACCTAGTTTAGCACCAAGGAGTCTAGATAAATTGTTTTATCAGCCAGGAGTGATAGGCTATTACTGTTCTACGGTATTCAAATTCTGTAACATATTGATCGTGAAATTGTCTAATCAGAGGGGAAACTATTAACAACAATTGTTAATTTACGAGTATATGGACTTCTGAAATCGTGTATCCTGGTGCCTGAGACGTTGTAGGAAGTTATGAAACATAAAGGCAGCTCGGTATGGGGATGGCATAAGAGAGTTAGTATGAGAACAAAAACAGGAATAAGATAGACCATAAGACTGGATAAGTATGGATTCATCTCTCAATGATCTAATCCTTGGACGTGGCTGCTGTACTCTACTTAAGAAATTAAAAAGGAGAAACATTAAATGGTATTGGTAGGTGGTCCAAGGAGTGAGCTGGCGGTGCCATTCATGGCAGCCCACGACCCAATACAGCCTTGAGCAACCGCACATCTCAAAAGGGTACCGATTCAATAAGAAACAATGCATCTTTTCATATTCCGATAGGAGAGACTATCATGCAAAACATCAAATGTCAAAAGTGGAGATCCAATGACAAGTGTTTTAAAAACTCTCAAGAAACAACATACCTGTGACTTTCCATCGAATGAAAAGAACACATTGTTTTGGACTCAAAGATGAGAAAAAAAAATTACTCTCTCTCTCTCTAAGGATCTGACGGGATTAAGAAAGTTACTGTGTTGCTCTTGCCGAAGTTTGGTGTTTAAGTGTATTGAGGTTTCAAAATTAGGTTTTGAGAAGATCAGAAACTAGCTTTATGACTCATGATCTCCTTTTGTCAAGTCAACCAGAAAGTGAAACACAGACAAAAAAAAACATGATTTTTATATTTTATTTAACCAGTTTATTTATTGAAAAATAATTTTTAAAAAAATAAATTTTAAAAAAATAAATTATTTTTTGATATTTAATAATATAATAAAAATTAAGTTGAAAAATATTTTTTATTTTTAGTTATGTCATAAAAAATAAGTTAAAAAATAATTTATTAATATTTTATTTTTAAAAATTTATTAAATAATAAGGAACAAATCTTACAAATTAAAAAAATTAATAAATTATTTTAAAAAAATAAATAAAATTATTTAATAAATTTTAAAATTTATTAAATAATAAGGAACAAATCTTACAAATTAAAAAAATAAAATTTATAAATTATCAAATAAAATGAATAATAATCAAAATGATAAAGATTAAATCTAACAAATAAATAAAAATAAATAAATAAATTAAAATAATAATAATTATCCATTTATAAATTATTTTAAATAAAATAAATAATAATTAAAAGAATAAGGACAAAATTTGATTGATAATAAATTAATTAAAAAAAATTAAAATTATAAAAATTAAAATTAAAATTAATATAAAAATCAAATTCTAAGAAATGGAATTAAAAATAAAATATTTAAAACAATATATATATATATAATAATTAAAAATTTAAAGATCAAATTTGATATAATTATTAAATAATATAATATTTCTAAATTTTTCACCGTTTTTAAAAAGTTTTTTTTCACCCAAAAAAATATTTTTTAAAAAATCAAATTAATTTTTTATTTAATTAAAAATTATTTTCAGTTGATTAATTTTTCTAATAGTACATAAACACATAAAAAATTAAAAAATTATTTTTCACTGACAAGACATTAGACTGATTCACATTTTCCCTAGGCATGTAAGGACCAAATATGAATTCTGAATCGCTCACATCCGAGGTGACTTGTTAATATAAATCCTGTGCAAGTCAGGCAGAACAGAATCTTGGATGGTATTTAAATATGCAGAGACAAGTTTTCACATACGCACAAGCAACAAGACTACAGGTATGCATCAGGTGGTCTAGTGGAGCATATTATAAACATCAGTTTGCTTTAAAGAGATACAAACCTCTCTACAGACAGGGCACTTTGCATTTGAACTTGCAGCTTTAAGGCCTTCAACCACCAGCACAGAAGCAGCTAAGCAAGCACACAACTTGCAGAAAAGATGACCACAACTCAAAGCATACGGATTAAAAACCATCTCCTGAGAGGTAATGATTAAAAAAACAAAATAAGAGAAGATCAGCAGAAAAAATGTTTATTTTCTGTACCTTGGAATGCACCAGAATTGATATCTTACCAAGCAAATGGCACAAGTAAGACCGTATTCTAATTTTGTATAATTTGGAAGCATCAGTGTCATGACAGGTTCTGTAGCCCTGAGATCACAGGAAAACCGACTGCAGAACTCACTAAACTCCCCTCCATCTATTCCATCAAAATTCAAATAAAAGGCTCCCAACTCTATTAGCCAAGGTGATTGCAAAAGCTCCATATGTTCAGACCGCATCTTGGATTTGAAATTCTTCCCATTTATAGAGGAATGCACCTAAAATTGAAAAAATATGCCTTTGATGTAAAGATAACATGAACCTAATAAGAAAGATCAAATGATGAAAATGGACTAAATTGCTGCATACTTTATCATATTTCTTTAGAATTTTACGGATAGCAATTGCATTCATGGTAACATATTCAATCAGCATGCGCCCTTCTTCAACCATGATCTGCTGATCATTTTTGAAACATTGACGTAGACGAAGTTTATATCTTTGCATTCCCCTGGCAACATGAAGATGGAGAAGATGTCTAACTCTGGAACTAAAGCACCCAGCTATATCTGAAGCTTCCCTCATCAATTCGGAAAAGAACATCTGATCACACACTACAAAATAAAAAAGCTATTGTGATTATAACACAGATACGACTTACAAACATTCAGCAGTCAAATTATTCTGCTTTAAGTTGAACCTGTAAAAGTTTGTTAAATTTAGTGACCTATATAGTGAATTGTAGCGAACATTAAAACCAAAAGAAATTGAGCATACAAGACCTTGCCGGAACCCATGCGGCTCATCACATTTATTATAAATCAGAAGACATGAATGATTAATCGCAAGAACATCAAGAAAAGCTAAATTGTCTCGAGAAGGCAACCAACTAAGATCTTAAATTGATATAGCAATTTTGAAAATACATCAAAACAGAACAAGAAAGCATGCGAAATCTCTTTCAAATATTTTCAAACACTAAATCAATGAATAAACTAGAACCCTGGTTAGAACTGAATATAAACAGTATGGTTGTGGCGAAGAGACTCCAGTAACTCCACTCTTCTTTTTATTGCCTTAATTTCTCTTCTTTTTGTTCACCAACCCGTCTGATAACTCCTCCTACCCTTTCCTGACTTCCAACTCTTTCAATTCAGAGACGAAATCAAATGTCTTTACAAACTAAACTAGGTATCAAGAAACATAATCAGCCAAAAGGGTAACTGACAACTATCAGCCAAAAGTTTTCAAATTTGACAGAAATCCCATATCAAGATTCCATCTTTCCACCAAAAACATGGAAGGAAAAGGGACTTACAAGGGCAAGATTTGCAATGGCAGACTTGGGACAAGCTGTGATTCTGTTCACTGTCTCTTTCTTGTTGCTGCTCGTCGTTGCAAGAAGTGGATGGCGGACCTTGGCTTCTGCATTTCTTTAACACTTTTTTGAGTCGTTTGTACTCAACATGAGCACATTTGTCCAAACACCCTTCTTGTTCTCCGTGTAAATACTCCATGAATGTCTCTCCAAACTTCATCTTCTTCTTTGTTTCGATGAAGAGAAACGAAGGATTAATTAATATTTATTTTAAGGATTAACTAACTGGGATTTGGAAACGAGTTTCTTTTCTATAGAAAGACACAAGCAAGAGGATGTTGCGTGCAATTTGTTTCGATAAAAAACGAAACCCGCGCTTCTCTTGCAATTTGCACCATTAACGTTAAATAAATAGGAAGTACAGTTTGACCTGAACACGCCAAGTCAAAAACAATCCAGATGCATTTATGAGAAAAATGGGATCCACCCACACAGCCCACTAACGTAATGATGGGATATGATATGATCCGATCCTCCTCTGGTCGTGGGAATTCCTGTTGCCGTATTAAGGACCATTGAAAGTGTTTTTTTTTTTAATAAAAACATTAATTATTTTTTGTAATAATTTTTTTTATATTTTTAAATAGTTTTGAGTTAAAAATATTTTTTTAATATATATATTAAAGTTCTTTCAAGTAAAAAATAAAAAAAAACTATTGTCACAAGTATAAAACAAACTCTAAATTTATTAGCAAAAAAAATTGTTTTATATTGTATTTTGAAGTATTTTGAGATGCATTTTATCTTAAAAATATTAAATTTATTTATTTTTAATATTATTTAATAATTTTAATGAACTGATATTAAAAAATATCTAAAAAAAATATTTTAATAAATTTTAGACAGAATATATTTTTAAAAAACACCATATGTCACACTTCACTTATTTTAAAAATAGATTTAACTTGAAAAAATATGAAATTAATTTATTTTCAATGATAATTATAATATACTAATATAAAAATTAAAAAAATATCTTAATATATTTTTAAATAAATTTAAATTAAAAATAAAAATACATTATAGAACACATCATCAAACCACTCACGTCACTTTTTTACATATTTAATTGAATATCTACTTTAAAAAACCATAAATTTTTCAAACAAAGTAAGGATCCCATATGGGAAAGGCGATCGCCACCACCTTCTCCCATTATTTTTATTTTCCTGACGAAACCATGATGACACCGTGACGCTCCATCTTCACAAAACCAGGTTAATAAGCTCATTAGTCCCTCTATTTTCATAATATTATTAACGTGGTCCGACATTAATTGATTTTCTTAAAGGAGACCTTCTATTTATCCTTTATTATTTAATAAGCCCTTCCATCAAATTTAAATGTTAAATAATGAGTTGATTTGACAAATATAATTCAATAGATTCTTTACTTGTATGTTTAATGTTTCATCAATATTTTTTAATATAAAAAAAGACATTTAGGTATTGATAATTTTTTCTAGTGAAAAAATATATATATTTATGGAAGTTGATTCAATCTACTTGATTAGTTCATGGATAATCTAAATTATTAATAAAAATATAATTTGACTAACAAAAATTAAAAATAGCATTAAAAAAAATATTGAGACAGTAACATATTATATCAACTTTATTTAACTTAACAAATTCACACCTCAAGTTATGAGACCATAATAGTTTTATATAAAATAAATTATGAAACTAAAATCACAATCAACCTAGTATAAAATGAAGGATTAAAAAAATTTCAAAATAGATTATTTAAGTTAATCTGTCAAATTTACGACTCAAATTATAAAATCAAGATAACCTTATGGAAAGTAAATCAAAATTAATTATAAAAATTAATTCTTAATCAATTAAATATTGAATGATAAAATTAATAAAAAAATCAACTAAAAAAAAAAACAACTTAAGTTAACTTAGGTTAACCTCTCAACTCATGACTCAAATCATGATATTAAGATAATCTTATAAAAAATAAAAAAGATTACTCAAGTTAATCTGTCAAACTCACAATTCATGTTATGAGATTGAGATAATCTTGTATGGAGAAAATCAAAATAAATTACAAAGTTCATTTTCTAATAAACTAATTACTAAATGATGAATCTAGAAGAAAACAATCAGTTTAAAGAAAAAAGATAATAAAATGAATTGAGCCTATCAAAATTAACCAGCAGAACTTATGACTTAGATTGTGAAACCAGAATAATTTTATAGAAAAAGAACTAAAATAAATCGTGAAATCTAATTTATAATCAACTCAATGTTGAAAGTTAAAACTAAAAAAAATTAAACCAATCAAGTTAGTATATCGAACTTGCAACATGAGTTATAAGATTACAATAATTATATATAAAACAAAATGCAACAAATCATGAAATTCAATCTCCAACAAATCAAATATTAAATGATGAAATTTGAAAAAAAAAACATAAATTTTTTTTAAATAAAAGAAAAATAAATATTACTTTAATAAATAATGTTTTGTAAAGATATCATCTCTTTAATTGTTTTTGTTAATTAATTTTTCACTTAATAAAGTTGCATTGGTTTATCATAATCCATGTTTATAATTATTTTATGTTTGAGCAGTAATATGAATAATTGAACAGTAATATTGATAAACAATTCTCACCAACTTAATATTAAATTAAAACGCAGGAATAAATGAAATAGATCCCCAGTTGCTATGCCAACTTAACATATGATGTTTTTGTTTAGAAGATAAGCAGAAGGGATGTTTGATCATATTAACTTCATCCTACACTTAATGCCAGCCACAAAATTAGAATTTGTTTTTTTTTTTCTATCTTTTATTATATTCTATTTTTATTAAAGTTTCAGTTTAATTCTTTACTCTTTTAATTCTTTAAATGCACATCAATAAAAAAAAAGTCATAGAATTCTATTTAATTTTTTTTTAAAAAAGAATTGTATTTATAAAAAAAAACGTTTGTTTATGTTAAAATCACATTAAAATGCAGCGCTTTGAATGTTTAAAAGAAGCCCTTTGACAATATGTACATAAAGTAGATATTGCTACAGTATGATATATTGTTCTAACTAGTTTATATATCATATTATGTGTTATGTTATGATACTTGTTGGGTTTTTTTTTAATATAATAAAAAGTATATTAATTATAGAAAATTATTTAATATTTTTATTAAATTTAAGCCTTTAAATTAATCTCGAAACCTTTAAATTCATTTCTTATCTAGATAACTCGAGTTTAAATCAAATTGCTACATTATGATATATAGTTTTAACTAGTTTAAATTAAACTTTTATTAAGAGAAATATTTTGTTTAACTATTATTAAATTCTTGTGTTTCCATCAATCAATTAGTACAGGACAAATTACAACACCTCTCCGGTATGCTAATTTTTTTGCGTGAAAGCTTCTTGAATGATGCTTATAATTTTAATGATACTTAGAAAATAAAATACTCAATATTGATGTTTCATCATTAAATTAAAACTTGTAATTATTGAACAAAATGATGAATGGTTAAAAGCGTGAAATATATTTATTTTGTTGTGAAATTATCGCATGAAACGTTGTGTTATTGACTTTGAGAAACTTTTATAATACTCAAGAAATAATTTGTGATTTATTATAGTCAGTTTATAGTTTCTATTTTGAAGAAAAACTTACACATAAAAGGTAGAAACTATAAAATTCATGGTTCAACAAGAATGATAAAAATATCTATACCTGAATAATTTTTTTTCTTTCAGTTATATTTCTTTGTATTTTTTAAAGTGGGTTGTAGAGAATAATTATTAAGATATTACTAATTATTTTTTAAATATCATAAATTTACTTGTTAAACACGATGCAAATCAAGAGTTAATTTAATGACTCCCTAACTTGGTTTTTGATTCAAGTTAGGTTCCAAAGAAATCAAATTGGAGTTAATTAAGTTTGACTTAATTGACTCTATAACTCAACCATAATCTAATTAAATATTAATTAAATATTTTTTTAAATAATATTATTTTTATTTTTAAAAAATTTAAATAATATAATTTTAAATTAACGTAATTTAATTTATTTAACTCATTGTCCGATTCTTAATCTATATCACGAATTGAGATGGCATTATATTCTATTTAGCTTTTTGGTGTAATCGTGTTTTTAAAAAATCTTGATTGTTTTAGTTTTAAATTAATTTTTTTATATTTTTATATTATTTTAATATACTAATATTAAAAATAAATTTTTTTAAATAATAATTTAATATATTTCAATGCAAAAAAAAATATTTTCAAAACTAATTTCAATTACATTCTTAAATATTACTTTTGATGATGTTCACTTCATTTGGTGCCAGCCAATAGAAACAGACAGGAGTGCCATAACTAGCAAGCACATGGTATGACTTATTTTGTTAATTACTATTTAACTTTCTTTACAATTCTTGAACATGTGAATTTCTAGGTTTCCAAAACAAAACTAGGAACACCAAAGCAAGTTTTACGGGTAGGATTCATAGCACATAACAGCCGTTTCCACCAAAAAAATATAACCCTGAATTTAGCGGTCACAATCCAAGACATATAGATTCACCTCTACAAGTTACCGAAGTTGCTGGCAGAAAGACGATCACCACCATCGTATCTCCTAAACCCTCCGAACCTTTTGTCTCTGAACAAAAAGACAAAAAGCAGACGAAACCCCCCGAGAAATAGAGAAGACGTTCAGGCAATCAAGAAAAAGGAAATAAAGAAATGGGACATGAATTGAAGATTTCTACAATTCCTCTACTTGAATCTTCATCAACAGGAACAGCTTCTAAAATTCAAACACTAGGGAATATAATTGTTTCTGTGGTTGGCACTGGTATTTTAGGCCTGCCTTTCGCTTTTCGAATTGCTGGCTGGCTCGCTGGCTCTCTCGGTGTCCTCGCCGCTGGATTTGCCACTTATTATTGCATGCTTCTCCTTGTCAGTCAGTTTTCTCTTCTCCTTTTCTTTTCTTAATCCTCCTCCATATAGTTCTTGTTACCCAGATGCAGTTTTTATACCAGCAGCATATATCTAATCCAGGGATAAAATTTATTATTTGTTTCTTTAGAGGAATTAACAATATTTGTTTCTGGGGTTTATTATTCACTACAATTTTCAAACTAACCTTTTCTTAAAACTTTATTTCTTTTTTGGTTCCTTGCTTTTCTTGTTTTCATTTATCTTTAATTTTGGGATCTGCTGTACTTATTTTATGTGGCCCAAAAATTCATTGACAGCAAAATACTTCAGAAAATTCTTTAAATTAATATATATATATTCAAGCTCACGATCCTAAAGATGCAAGATCGAGTCTCGAAGTCAGTTGTTTTATTTGTGGTAAAAATGTTAGAAGAATTCCGTTTCCCTCAATAACAGATTAAGTGGCTGTTTGGCAGTGTATTTAAAAAGTACTTCCGAAAAAATTTGAATTTTTTTATTTTAAATTAATATATTTTTAATTCTTTACTCCCACACACTCTCATTTTATATACTAGTCTTTTCTTGCCTCACTGCTGCAGGTTCAATGCAAAGAAAAGCTAGCATCACAAGAATTAACACCAGAAACAGAAACATATGGTGACTTGGGTTACAAATGTATGGGCAACACAGGCCGTTCCCTGACAGAATTTCTCATTTTCACATCCCAGTGTGGAGGAGCAGTGGCATACCTAGTCTTTATTGGCCAAAATCTATCATCCGTATTCAAGGGCCATGGACTTTCGTTCTCATCCTTCATATTCTTGTTAGTCCCTATCGAGATCGCACTATCCTGGATCCATTCGTTATCTTCTTTAGCACCTTTTAGCATTTTTGCCGACATATGCAATGTGTTAGCGATGGCAGTCGTGGTGAAAGAGGATTTTGACAAGGTAATAAGCGGTGAATTCAGGTTTGGTGATAGAAAGGCAATCACATCTAGTATAGGAGGATTGCCGTTTGCTGCAGGGATGGCAGTGTTCTGTTTTGAAGGGTTTGGGATGACATTGTCGTTGGAGGCTTCAATGAAAGAGAGGCGCGGTTTTGCTAGCTTGCTGGCAAAGGCATTCTCTGGGATTACTCTTTTGTATGTTCTGTTTGGTTTTTCTGGTTATATGGCTTATGGTGATGAAACTAAAGATATTATAACTCTCAATTTGCCCAACAATTGGTCCACAATTGCTGTTCAGGTAATGTGCTCCAGCTTTTTGCAATATAAATATGGCACTTATAACGTGTAACATCCTTCTTTCCATCTTTACATACCGCATTAGTACTTGCTCAAGGATTCCCTTTCCTTTCTTTGTTGGTATTAAATTTAGAAATGAATAGCTTCACTAGTTGTTTATTACAAGAAATCTTAATTTATCCCAATACAGCTTTTGGAATTAATAAAATAAAGGTTAGCTTTAGAACTTGGAACCAATTCTTTATATCCATTGCCTTGGATGCATTAACAGATGCCTTGGATGTATTAACAGATGCCTTGCCTGCCTGTCTACTCTGTCGTTGTCTAGTATTATTGTTATTCACTGTCATCCTCCATTTGGAACTGATTGTTTTTTTGCATATAATTTTTATCTAAAAGCATAAAAAACTAGATGCGTAGGCACGTATTTTTATACTGCATGTAGGACTTTTGTAATTATGTTGCATGTATGCCTACCACAAGACTTAATAATTGCAGAGGTAACAGTGAAATTGGAATGGTAATCTTATCACTGCAATTTTGCAAATCCTACTCTCCTATTTTATTGCTATATTATGCAACAGGATGTGATTGCCATGCTAATCTTTGTGCTAATTGGCAACAGGTTGGATTGTGCTTGGGACTAGCATTCACGTTTCCCATCATGGCACACCCAATCCACGAGATTGTGGAGGGGAAGCTGAGAAACAGTGAATGGCTTCGAAAGGCATGCTATAAAGATGGTGAGAATCCAACATTAGTTGGAAATTTTGGAACATATCTGAGTCGTGCTATATTGATTGTTGTTTTAGCACTCTTGGCATCATTTGTGCCTGGTTTTGGTGAATTTGCATCGCTTGTCGGGAGTACTGTATGTGCACTAATCTCATTTGTTTTGCCAGCCGCATTTCACCTAAAATTATTTGGTTCATCGTTACGATTCTGGGAGAAAGCCTTGGATTATATCTTCTTGATAGGTGGGCTTCTCTTTGCTGCTCATGGTACTTACAATTCCATCATTGGTTTTTGAAGGAATTTTGGCTTGAATTATGTTTTTGCTTTTTTCCTTTTCAGTAGCCTAGATTGTCACATAGAGAAATGTAGTTTCATGTAAGAGACATTATTAGCAACAGGTAGAAGGGGATGTATCTCTGGAGATCATTTACTTGGGGACTGAAGATGCAGCAACTTGCTTTGTATAATGCTGTTGGCCCTGCCTTTATCCAATCGAATGGAAAGTTCAACTTTCATGAATTTAGATTGCCTCATTCACCCAATTGACTCTCGATGTCTGTAAGGAAACAAATTAGCTCTCTTTGTGTTGCATTAATGTGCTCCCGCATCTTTTCGAGCATGCGGCTTCCACGCTGATAATAGAAAATTTTGAAACTAATTAAAACTACATATTTTTGTCAAGGTTTTAAACAGCTTCATGCACTGCCTCCATCACAAATACTAGAATTATGTTGGGTACACTATACAGTACGGTACACCTAACTTCATACTTTAACAATCGCACCACAATTCGTTTAGGTAGGCCTGATTTCACAGACTAGAAATCTAACTCCAGTCTGGTACGCCTAAACCCTGTCATCTTTTGCTGCTTGCAACTTTGCATACCACTTAAAAGGTATCTTTTCTGCTTCCCAAGAAAAGGAATGCAGATTGCTGTGATGTGAAATTCTGGAAGAGACTTAAAGCCAGGTGCTGACATTGGATAAGACTTGGGACCAGGATGCCAGAGAATGAGCAAAGATGGCAACAGAGATTCTAAATTTTTGTTGGGAAAACATTGCGAATGATCTCTAACAAAATGCAATCCATGAAAAGATGGGAGGGAATATGTAATAATATATCAGGCATTTAAATATCTACCACTGTGGAATATTAGAGTACTGGACCTTCAAAATCTTTCCGGGGCCTGCTGTCTTCCCAGTAGTGTTTTCTCCTTTAGAATAAAGCATCTTTGATGATTTGCATTATTTGTTGGTATGTATGTCATCCTTTTCAGGTGAGGGACATTTTAGATGCATCAAAGCTAATGGTATCCCCACTAAGTCCAGCATTAGCAGTGAGCATCCACTCCATTAGAAGAGAGAGGGCCAGCTTTTGGCAAAGATGACGAAGTGAGAGTGAAAATGAAATGGGGGCAAAAAGACATGGATTCTCAGTGCTCCAGGACAACATATTAAAAGATGAACGAAGATCATGAAAAAGTCCCATGTCCTTTTCCAAAATAAAATCCATGACAACTCCTTTTGTTTTCATTTGTAGCCACAATTTTGGTATTCTTAGTATCCAGTAAAGATATGTCACTCAGAATAAAGATATTCATGTGGGGAGAGCAGTACTTGCCGATAGAGATGGGAATCGCTTCTCTTATAATGACACACTCACTTCTTAGTGTGGATACCCAATTCCCATGTTGGATACCCAATTCCCATGTGGCCTACCTTCACATCCTTTTCTTCTTCTGTAATCCCAATTACAAGATTTGTAATCAAACTCTGTTTTCATAAGAAAGAAGAGATCGGATTTTGATAAAATTTTCAGGCAATGATTTCAAGGATGCATCTCATGATGATCACAGCAATTAATCAACTTGTAACCATGCTAAAGCAAACATAAAGCTACTTTGAACCAGCACGTAGAAAGGGCTCGACTTTCTTCTGAGGCATAACCCTTGCGTAAGTACTTTAGCAAGTGTTCCAAGTGGAATAAGTTGTCGGCCATTTTGATCTTTTGCTGGTGTTATAGATATTAAATTTGGTTGATTCATTGATTTAAAATTTATTGTAGCAGTTCAATTTGTTATAGAAATCAAGTTTTATTTTAAATTATTTTGGTTGAATCAATGTTTTGTTAATTTTTGATTGTTTTTTTGTTTTTAATTATTTTTTAAATATTTTTAGATCATTTTATTAATATTAAAAATAAATTTTAAAAAATAACTTGTTATAGATCCTGGACGTTGAAGACCATCACCAAATACTTGGAAAATTAAAAACCATAAAGCTGACTGCTTTTCATTTGTAATCCAATGAATTTATATCTAAAAACTGATAATTAATTTTGAACATTTTACCCACTTTATGATGCAAAATTTAACATTACAAGTTACATTCCGTAATGGAGATTGCCAAAACATAAAATTTAAAGAAAGAGATCTCTTCAATTTGAGACCAAGATTCACAGTGTTCTAATGAAATTCTTAAAGCTCTTGATACTATTAGACGAATAAGAGCCAATTACTCTGTCCCTATGCAAAAGTTATCAACATTAAAAAAAGAAAAAAAAAAGAACTTGGCCTCTTACAGAGAATTTGATGAGAAAAAAATCATAAAAGGAGGAGAATTTGATACAATAATCCACAAAACAAGAGCCGAGAGACTTGATTTTTAGATTTGTTTTTTAATATTGTTAGTTTAAATTTTATATAATTTTAAAATTATTAAAAAAAATTATATAATTATTAATTTTAAAATTTATTGGAGCTGTGAAGAATAAAAAAATTAATAGGAACGAAGCCAGCTTCCATGTAGGACCCTCCTTCCACTTAAGAAGCATGGACCCAGTTTGAGGTTGTACTATGCTTACTGTGCCCCAACATTCTCTCCCCCACCCCTCCTCTGCCCTTCTCCTTGTGTGTATATATTTGTGTGCACGAATAAATCCCCCGGGCCCACTTCCCACCCACTTCCTCCCCTCAGAAAATGACAGTTTCCGGGCCTTTTTCCACGGACAGAGTCTTTTTCCTCAGTTCGCAGGTCCTGAAGACTTCTTCGTCCTCACCTCCCATGCATCATTACATTATAGTACAACACCACATCCCATGTTAATGTTACCATCCCTACAAGTAGCATTAATAAATCAAATAAAATAACAGTTTCCTGTTCCACCATTCATAACTTCTCTTACTACTTACTAGTATATAACACAACTCTGTAACCAGTCACAGCAAACCACTAAAGCACACCAAAGAAACCCGCCACCGCCACCGCCACCGCCACCGCCACCGCCACCAACAACAACAGCAACCCTAAAAAAGGAAAACAAGAAACCCTTTCTTGGTTTCTAACAATGTCTCCACCGCTCACAAAACCAACAACAACAAGCTCGATCTTTTTTCACTCAAAACCGCCACCACCTCTCTGCACTTTCCTTCTCTTGACAGCCCTTTGCCTTATTGGTTTCTTTTACACTCTCCACCACTCTCAAAATCCCAAGACTACCCTCCAGCACACCGCCACCCTTTTCCTCTCTTACTCCTCTAACTCCACCATCTCCTCCTACCTTCATTCCCTCACTCTCCACCCTCACCTCGCTGGCACCAAACCTTCTCTTGAGACCGTCAACTATGTCTTCTCCCATTTCAAGAACCTCAAGTTAGAAACACACAAGAAAGAATACCAAGTTTTGCTCTCTTACCCTATAAAATCTTCACTCTCCGCGCATTTTAGCAACGGGAGTGTTGTAGATTTTAATATTAGTGAGGTTGTTGATCTTGCTGAATCAGATAAAATTGTTTCCCCGTACCATGCGTATTCGCCGTCTGGTACGGTGCACGCTAAGGTTGTCTTTGTAAATTATGGCCGTGAAGTGGACTATAATGCGCTTGAGGCTTTAGGAGTGAACGTTAGTGGATGTGTTGTTTTGGCAAGGAAAGGTGAGGGTTTAAGTAGGGGTGGAGTGGTTAAAATAGCTGAATCTAAAGGTGCTTTGGCTGTTCTGTTGTACGCCGAGGAGGGCAGGGTAAGTGGGGGTGTGGAGAGAGGGACTGTGATGAGGGGTGTAGGAGACCCACTTAGTCCAGGGTGGGCTGGGGTTGACGGAGGGGAGAGACTGGGGTTAGAGGACAGTGAAGTACTTGAGAGGTTTCCTAAAATTCCATCTCTGCCCTTGTCTTTTGGGAATGCTGACGTCATCTTGGGGTCGCTTGGTGGCCGTACCGTGCCTCCGGAGTGGAGGGATTCTGGTGGAAGGTCTAGGGTCTTACGGGTCGGCCCAGGGCCGGCTAAGGTCAACTTCACTTACCAGGTTGGTTGTTTTGTTTGTTTGTTTGTTTGATGAATGTTTCGAGTGTTTTATGCTCGAATGTTGTACTGATAGAATGCTATAGAAGACAAAAAAGAGAATTTTGAAAGGCCCACAAACGTTGGTCCAAAATTATGGTATCTTTGAATATTTGTAGTTGGCTAATTGTTGATTTTGCTATTTAAAGGTTGGTCAAACTGGTATTTGGATCGGTATATGAGGATTGAATAGTATTAAATTTGGATGAGTGTTGAAGTTCTTGTTTACGCTTTCTATTTCCTGGGCTATGATTCTAGTTGAATTTGCAAAATCTGGAGTTGAATTCGAAGTTTTGGAAGAGCTAGAAGTGCTTTTGTTTGGCCTAGAGCGGCCATGACAACAAGGACTAGCTTCCTCGAAACATGTGAACTTGATAACATGCTAGTGTGCAATGACATAGTAACATGATTATTGTAGGCAAAACTCAATATGATTCACTTAAGCTTCAGTTTTGTGATTGGGTTTTCTTGGTTTGGAGAATATGTGCCTGCCACCTGCAAGCTCGCTCTTTTTTCCTTTTTCCTTGGTGGAGAAGTCTTGACATAATAAATTTTAGTAAATATGACCTGTATTGAGGTGGCTGTTATTTTTGTGTTTCCTAATTATCCAACTATGATTGGCATCTTACTATGTGATCTTGCTTATTTCACACAACTAAGATTTTGGGAAAATATCAATATCTATCCACAAGATGATCGATGGAGGGCGACTGTTAAAGATGGTGAAGTCGAGCTGAGTTTTGACAACTTAATCTACTTTATGAGATTCAGCAGATTAAGATTTTTCCTTTTTCTGCTATTTGATATGGAGAGTTGTGATTGGTTTTTAAGTCCAGTCACCCTTTCATGCTTTGAAAGAGCTTGTTTTCCTGTAGCTCAATATCAATTCTGGATACTACGATTTGATTTGGATGGATTTTTTTCCAATCTTTTAATTTTTAACGCATTGAAGTGAATATCATCTGACGTGCTTCTTTATGTATGAGAATTTCAGCTCTCTGCAATTTTGTAATGCTCTCTCTTTGTTATAAATGTATTTGGCTGCTTATTATTAATGAGGAAACGTGGAAAGAAACACAAAAAAGCATATTAAAAGCTATTTATTTGACAAGCTCATTCCACTTTTCACACATTTTTTCTTGATTATTGATTTTTCTTCTGTTCTTTAGGGGGAGAAAAAGATGGTGACAATCCACAATGTTTTTGCTGTCATAAGGGGGTCAGAAGAGCCTGATCGTTATGTGATCCTTGGTAATCACAGAGATGCATGGACATATGGAGCTGTTGATCCCAATAGTGGTACTGCTGCATTACTAGACATTGCTCGGCGATATGCTCGTTTGATGCAGAAGGGGTGGAACCCTCGAAGAACTATAATCCTTGGTAGTTGGGATGCAGAAGAGTTCGGGATGGTAGGTAATTCTCCATCTTTGTTTTCATTTATGTGCAATGGCTGTGATGTGGATCAAGATGTTAACCTCAGGATTGTTGAATTATAGTTTCTCACATTTACTGTGCTGTCTCTGATTCTACAATCTTCTTCTTGCATAGAACAGGATGGAAGGTACTGCATCAAGTTTGATCCTCATCCATTTATTACTTTGTTGAAAACTGAAGAACCTGTTTGACATGGCTCGTTATGCATTATTGATAAAGAATACATTTTACAAAAATATTTTGCTTCATTATTCTTTTTACAGCTTCTATTGATGCAATGACAATTCAATTGTCCTTGGAAGTGATCACTTTGGAATGAGGGAGACAGATACTTGTATGATCTCCTCATAACATGGATGGACCTTTCAGCAATTTCATGTGTTTGACTTTGTGGTCGATTGCTGATCCTCCCATCCAAGTCTGTACATGGATCTCTGTTCTGATTTCCCAAAGTCTGGCAACTGTAACAGTTCTATATAAACAGAATACCAAATTTGCTTGGAGAGGGCCGGATTTCAGGACGGCTATTTATTACCATATCTAAACATGAATGCAGTAAATTGATAGGTTCCTTGAGAAAAATAATCTTTCCTTGCTCACTAAATGTTGTTGTCAAGCCTCATAGTTTTTCTTTTAATAGTTTTACTGAGTATGTATCTGTGATAATCTTTGGATGCTGAACCTAACAAGATTGTATACTGGAGTGCTTTTGTGTATTGCAGTAATCCAAATTGATGTGTAACTATGATATTGTAGGGTCTACCGAGTGGGTTGAACAAAACCTTGTCAATTTGGGTGCGAAAGCAGTGGCGTATCTTAATGTAGATTGTGCAGTTCAAGGCCCAGGATTTTTTGCCAGTGCAACTCCCCAGCTAGATAATCTTCTTATTGAGGTTACTAAAAAGGTAAATTAGAGGAACAGTATGCTGTTACTTTTAAGGCAGTTTTGATTAGCCTCTTTGGATGTTGCTTGGTTTCAAAACGTGACATTTTAACCAGTTATTTCAACTAATACTAAAAATGATTTCAGGTCAAGGATCCTGAAGCAGAGGGTGCAACTGTATATGAGAAATGGGCAGCCAGAAACCAAGTCAATGCAGTAAGACTGAACAGTATCTTTTATCAAATGCCAGTATTTTAACTGCTCGAAGACGCTGCTTCTTCAATTATTAAATGCTGATATTTGAAATGCTTAAAGATGCATAAACATTCACACCAATGTATGTGTCTGTGTTTGTGTTTGCACGTACACATCCTTCACTTAAACTATTGTGTAGCAGCATACCACTTTGGTCTCTACAAAAGAATAGGTCCTATGTGCAATGCACTGATGATCATCTCAAATATCTTCTTGCTTTGAAGCTACAAATGGAAATGGTGCCCTTTTTTTCCCCTCACAATTAGAAGTTATAACCACCCTAGTGGTGCTCATTTATTTAAGAATGGCAATGAATCGGGTCAGGGAAGGTTTTTTGCAGGATTATCTAAATCTGTAACCCACCTCTGCATGGAGGATTTTCTCCATGTAGCGGTACCCGACCTCATTTATTTAATATGTTTTTTTGAAGATCAATTTTACAAAGATAAAATCTATGCTTAAAACAAACTACATCTATATTCATGAATCATAAAACCATAAAATAGTGTATCAATTTTCCATGTACAAAATAATAAAAATCATTTATGAATCATAAGATATAAAATTCAAGCGTCTCATTAAAATATAAAATTAATACTACAAAAAAAAAAAGTGTTGACACCCTAAGCTTGGGGAAGGGGCCTGGTGCGTAACTGAAACTAGTTAAGGGGCAGGTTGGGTGATGGGGTGAGCGAATGCGCCCACCCCTGATCAAACCAGATCAGATTTTATCCCCCTTCAGTTTGGCTGTGGTCAAACTGGATATAATTCCAATCCAATTGGATCCATGCATGCAGATCAAGTGCAATTATCATCCGTACATGTAGTCGTACTTCAACAAATGATGTGTTTTGGCCTCCTGGAGATAAGTTTTTTTTTATCAGGCTCTTATTCGGGGACTATCATGTTTGGTTTGCAGATTCAAAGACTCGGTGGAGTGGATTCTGATTTTGCTCCATTTCTGCAACATGCAGGGATTCCTTCTATTGATATCTATTATGGAAGAGGTATGTTTCTCCAACCTTTGCAGTGATTATTTACTGGCAGTAATGTCCTATTTAGGTTTGTGGTTATGCATATGTGAGATATGAAGGTATTTATTTATCAGGCGCTCAAATGGAATCATTTCAGGAATTTGAATAGCTTTAGCTGTGTTTTTTCCCCTCAGCCTTGCAAATATTATTGCAGCTAAAGGATCAGAAATAAGGATAATTTTTAGGATTTTTGTTTTTGAACATTGTATCATAGGAGTAACACCACCATTTGTTTTCATCATCCCCACTTTCAAGTCATGCCTCTCTCCATGTTTTGGCATTATGACACGCATTACTGTTTCTGTTCTTGAAGTTTAAGAGGAACCAAATTGGAACAAGAAACGTTCCCTGGATTTTCAAACATGATTGTGGCTTGACAGTAAGAGACTATTTTATTTTGTCTCAGGGAATGTCTGAGATGTTCTTTTCATAATCTATACCTTGTTGGTATTAATGCCAGAAACAGTATTGTAATTTGATGAATTTTATTTATCTTTGGAGAAGCATGTTAGAATTTTAATTCTCTTGAATCAGGGGTCCAAAGCCACAACAATTAGAAAACTATCTAGAGAACTCGCCAGGTGGATAAAATCCAAACTAAGAGACAGATAATGATAAATCACTGGATTTTCATCTCCTTGACCAACTTTGACTCTTGTAGCACAGCTGCACACTGGGAATTCTGATTCCTGTGAACCTCATTGATGAATGGAGCAGGGCTTTGGTATGCCATAAACCAAGGAACAAAGCTTTCTCAATCACAGCAAAACATTGAACAAACAGCCCAGATGATGGGCACCAAGGACCGTATTGGTGGTTGCACAACAAATGGATAGATTTAGCATCATGTAAAACAAGGCAGGTCTGGAAAAAACCTTCTAGATCAGAAGAAAACACTGAAAAGGATAAAAGAAAAGAGAATTGAAAAGGAAGAGAAAAGGGCATGCTGCTGGCAAAAGTCAAGCAGTGGTAACCCAATTCTTATGGGCGGCAGGGAGGGAGCGCAGTAGTGAGAGGTTTGGTAGGATTGCTAGTTCTGGGTGGTACTTTTCTAAGGTTGGCAGCTACTGTCTGTTTTGAGTTAAGCATTTTATTATGTGACTTTGATGGTACAAGAACTTGAGAGTCTGGTGACATGGTTGAAGCCAAAGAAGAAACTGGCAGAAAACCTTGCTTCGCTTAAGTTAAACCCCAGTTGCAAGAAACATTATTAGTGCAATTGAACAGATAATAGCAGAAAATTATTTGAACTACATAGCTTTTATTTCTTTGCTAACTCGCGAGAATTCTTTGCTAGCGATACTAACTGAAAGCTGGAAATTTATACTTGTTGTTCAGATTTCCCTGTCTATCACACTGCTTTTGACTCCTATGGGTGGATGAAAAAATATGCGGACCCGTTATTTCATCGTCATGTGGCTGGTTAGTGTCCTTTTCTGTCAACTTGTGTGCCTACTGCAGATAAATTATAAGGGCATTCATAACAACTTTCAATGGCCCTTCTGTTTTTTGTTGTTTCAGTTGCTGGAATTTGGGGACTTCTAGCCCTTCACCTGGCTGATGAGTCTATTCTCCCATTTGATTACATCTCTTATGTGGAGCAGTTACAGGTGTGCATCTGATTAAAATTTCTCCAGCATGTATTTGTTAGTCAAACAAACGATGTTTTAGACTAGCTGTTCACAAATAAGTGACCAAAATGGTTGGAAACTTGCCAATAGAGATGATTGCATTTCTATGGGAAACCTAGGGTGCTTCCTTCAAATTCTTTATGTAACTATTTATGTTGTGGGTAAGAATAATTTTTTAGAAAATAGGATCTAACTTGAGGAAAAGACTGGAAAATAACATGAGAAGATGCATCATTCTAACAATTAGCGTGGTTGGAAATCATTTATGTTTGACTGCCAAGCTGTTCCATGATGGCTGTACAGCTAACATGAGGAAAAGACAGGAAAATAACGTGGGAAGATGCATCTTTCTAACAATTAGCATGGTTGGGTATCATGTGTTATGTTTCACTGCAAAGTTGTTCTCCTTAAATATGATGGCTGTATAGTATGCATTTGTGAGATTCACCCGCCCAACTCCACAACCTGTGGTTCTTGAGAAATGAAACTGGCTATTCAATTTTGAAGGTTGAAGAAATATGGTTCCGAAATCACATTGCACCATTATTGAACATTTTCTCTGAATATATAGTGAATTTTGTCATTTTCAATCTCTGAGTGACATTTCCCCTTTCCTTGGCAGGGGCATACAGTTGTCTTGGGCAAACTATTGGACAGGAACGTATCTCTTCATCCTTTAGTTACTTCAATTCAAGAACTTGCCTCTGCTGCAAAAGAAGTGGAGTATGAAGTAAAGGTGAGCTCTTGAAGTAATTATTGGACTTCCTACATCTTAGTGGAGATGAGGAAAACCTACATTTTATGGTCATTTATTATGCTCTCTCTCGAGTCCTCAAGGGGCATGTATTGTTTTTTAATGCAGCAATTGAGAGAACAAGAGAGGAGGGGGGATTTTATAGATTTGAAGTTGCGAGCATTGAATGATCGGCTGATGCTTGCTGAAAGAGGCTTCCTGGATGTAGAAGGGCTTCAAGGAAGGCAATGGTTTAAGCATCTTGTAAGTGTTCTCCTCGTCTCCAGCTCAAGAGCATTAACTTGGATTTAAACAGTATTGTGAAGAACCTCAACAGCAATTTCTGTGTAGAACTGACGTTTTAATCATCTTTGTAGATTTATGGGCCTCCGAGTGACTACGAAAGTAAACTGGATTTCTTCCCTGGAATAGCAAATGCTCTCTCTCAATCCACTAGCAAAAGCCAACAAAATAGGCAAGCAGCAGTTCAGCATGAGATATGGAGAGTTGGCAGAGCCATTGAAAGGGCTGCTAGTGCTCTTAAAGGGAATCTCACCTGAATCAAGCAGAAAACATGCATCGACATGAGGCCGTCAACTTGTATATAAGAGTGGTCAACTTGTCATAGATTTTAACTTTACTCGAGATGCATAAGGTTAACTCTTGTGAATGCGAATTTAAAATCCATGCTGTAAAATTTTGGCTCATCCACAGCAAGCAAAGCTATTATCAAGAACATTGCATCCCGTGATTACTGATATGCTGGAAAGATACAAAGACTAGAACTGAAATTGCAGACATCTGAATGTGTTCCACTCTTGCATGATCTTAAAACAGAATATATCGATGCCCTCGTGAGTCTTCATAAGAAAAAAGTTCTTAAAATATACAGATCGGAAAATGACAGGTTATCAGTTAAAAAGCATGGGATTAGGAGGTTGCATTAATTGGGTCTCAAAATAAGATGGTGGCTAAGTAAATTTGAGTGACACAACACAATATAACAGAGTTTCCTTGCAGGCATCAACTTGCATGATAAGAACATGGCAGGTTTATTTCCTCTTTTCCAAGTGGCAAAATTGAAGACATTGAAAAATCTTGCCTTGGTCCGAATGTCCTCTCTCTTGCATCATATAGTTCTATATCCAACATGGCAATATAATATACTGTTCATTTTGATTTAGTGTAATAAATTAGTTAACTCGTCTGATCTTTGCTACATAGATTTTTTTTTAATAACAAAAAAAGTTGTTCATGTATTTTCTAGCAGTAAAATAATTTTGATTGTGAATTCAAAATTTAAAGTACAAGTTTTAAAAAATTGATTGAGATTTTTATTCATCAATACATATTAAAAACAAATGTTAATACCAATTAAAGACAGGTTAACAATTTGAAAAACATAAATCATGATTAGTGGCAGAGTTAGGATTTTTTAAATGAAAGGGTAAATTATTAATAAATATTTAATATTATATATTATATAAACATGCATTATATTAAGAAATCAATGTGAAATATATGTATTAACTCATATTAAACAAAATTAATATAAAAATACTTTCAAAATAAAAAAATTATGTTATAATTGTTCTTTTCAAGTTTTATATTTTAAAACTGCTTCATAATAACTTTATTATCAATCTTATCAAAAGTATTTTTTTTAATATATACAATCAAACTGTCAATTCATCTATTTTTAGTTTAGGATAGGTTCAATGCTTCTGTTCTCTAAATCTTCGAAGAAATAGTGAAATTCTTAATAATAATTTTATACTGGTATATGATAGAGAATAACTAAAACCATAACTTAAAATGATTGTTATGACATATTGATGTTGTTATTGTTGACTTATTATTTTCTACAAGTGGGTTAAATATAAATGTTAAATATTTTTTTATTTCTCTATTATGTCCTTAATTTTTTGATTTGTCCCATACTTCATTTTTAATCGCTAGTAAGATTATCGCCATCCATTTTCAATATGAAATTCGTAATAAAATACTCTTATTAATTTTTTAAAACTCATTTAGATTCATATCTATATACATATAATATTACTCATACATATATTAATTTACAAACTCTTAAATTATTATAAATCCTAACATTTTCAATAACTAATTGTAAATGAATAAAACTAGAATTAAACAATGAAACAAATAAAAAAAATTACCTAAAGCATAAAGTATAAGAGGCTATTTACTTAACTAACTAATAGCTTAGAACTTGAAGAAAAATTTTGTAAAAAAAAATAAATAATAATAGCTCGAAAAAAAAAAGGGTTATCGGTTAATTAATAAAAAAGAAAGAAAACAATTAGTGAAATGTGTTAAACATATATATTATATATTATATTATGTTGTAAGTTAACAATAGCTAACTTGGGTTAATTAGTAGTTAGAAAAAAAAATTAAACATGTTAAGATATTATTAATATTCTAATATAAAAAGTATTTTGAAAAAAAAAAGTTTAAAGAGGCAAATTGTATATTTTAATATAAAAAATATGTTAAAAGAAAAATTAAGGAGGCAATTGCCCCCTTTTGATACCATATAGCTCCGCCACTGCACTTGATCTTGTTCTAATTGCAGGCCTCAAAGTTATATATATACACACACACACACACACCCTTCCTTCTCTTATTAATAGTTATTTGGTCTTTGCTCCCCTACGGGTTAAATAAAAAAATTATACAAAAAAAGTGCTCCCCATTGTCGGCGCATTTTCTATTAGCAACAAAAATTGTGATTGTGAATTCAAATTTTAAAGCATAAGGTTATATGTGCCATAAAGGTTAAAAAAAGATATTATGGACAGTTGAAGACCAAGTTATGGACTTTTGGGAATATTATTAAATTCAGCGGCTTGATAGGTTTAATTTAGAGGTTTTAATCCAGGTTTTTATTTGGTTTTGGTTTCAAATTATATCATGTATGAGTTGATTTTATGAGTTCAACGGCAACTCGAGCAAAACCTAGTTTGATTAAAAAATATTTTAAATTTTATTTTTTTAGTTTTTTAAAAAAATTATTAAAATGATAATGTTATGGGTCAACCTAGATCTTTAAGTGTTAGCTTTGCAACCCTGTCAATTTAGTCAAATCCCAGTTTGCCTTTAAAAATAATTAAAAAAAAAATTAATCTAATATTTCTTTTATAAAAATATTAAAATAATAATATTTTGGATAAACTTGGATCAAATTAAATTAATTTACCTAACCCATAACTTAGGTCCTCTTACTAAGTTTAATAATCTTGTTTTTAAAAATATATTTTTTATTCAATCAAATAATTAACAATTTAAACATAGGAGAGAAGATATTAATTAAAATTTTAAAAAGAAAAAAAAGTTAATTATTAATGGACTTAATAGGATAGGCTTACTGATAGGCACATAAATGATATATTGTCCATTTTTTTTTTAATTTTAAGAAAGTTGACAATGTGTCTTCTTGAAATCAAGTTTTCAACCAATTTTATGGAGGTTAAAAAATTGAGATACAAGTTTTTTTTATTTAAAAAACTTATTTTTAACTTGTTTTTACATGAAAATACATAAAATATATTTTAAGAATGTTGAAAAATCTTTTGCCAACCTCAGAACACCCTAAATCACTCTAAAAAGTAAAAATCAACCAATTAAAAGAAAGCCACACAAATCCTAATTTAATTTTTTTAGCATGTTTATACGGAACATTATCCCTATTGAACTCCTCTTGTAAACTTCTGGATAAAATTTATAAAATTAATAAAGTAATTGCTATGATAAGTGAGTAAAGTGAATATATGAATTTAAAAAATAACTTTATGAGAATTTGAAATAAAATGTTTATGTATTAGTTTAAAAATAAAAATATGAAAAAACAAAGAAAAGCATATAAAAATTAAATAAAAAGATAAAAGAGAAAATTAATGTTTTAGGATATAATATAATAATAGGAAATTAATGTTCTAGGATATAATATAATAAAATTTGAAGTAGTTGGTTAAAACTTGGCTTTAAAAATACATCTGAATCTTGGAAATATGACTTGACAAATATAAAAGATATAATATAAGCCTGTAACTCTAAAATTGATAAACAAGTTATAATACAAAGAATTTTTATAAATTTAAACTGAAAATATTTAGAAAAGTATTTAGAATTTTTAAAATAAATTAATGCATGATTTTATACTATTTGAATTGATGATATAAGCTTTGCGCATAATTACATAGTTTTTTTTTAATTAAAAAAGGAACAAAATTTGAGGAAAACTTGTATAATAAATAGGTATGGAATTTCCCAATAAATTAGTTAGAGATTTGAAAAATTTAAGCAAATAAAACAATACAAATTTTTGGATTTTTGGTGTAAAAATTACAAGTTATTCAATTTTATATTATTAAGTATAACTCTCAATTAAACTATTAGATCAAACTAAAATGTTTTGATTAATCTTCTAAAACATAATTCTATGTTGATTTAAAATTTCATGTAAATTGAATGTTGAAAAGATCTTTTGAAAATATAAATATCAAGTTATAAAATAAAAAACTAGCACTTGAGCTCATTAATGACAAAATTATAAACACGCCAAAAATCTCCTCCCTCCTTAAAAAACCTGGGAGTGCAGCTAGTTCACGAGGGAAAGGCTGTTCTCAAAGAAAGTGTTAACACTAGAATGGTAGCAAGCCTTTTCATTAGCTCATGGAAGTTTTCTTCATACTCCTTTGACTATTTCAATACTACTTTGATCTTTTTAAAATCTATAAATATTTTTTTTTATAGATATGATGTTTTAAAAAACCATTTTTTTAGTTAAAAATCATATTTTTCCAACTTGGCATATAATTTATAGTTCTTTAGAATGTACAATACATACCTGATATTTTTTTTATAGTTATTTAAAATTTTATATGGTTTTTCTAAATTCTGATTGATCTAAAATTTTAATTTAAAATTAAAAAATATTAAAAAACCATATAAAATTTCAGCTTAATCTAATGATTGTATTGAGAATTATACTTGATAGAGTAAATTTGATCAATTAGTAATTTTACACCAAAGATCTAAATTTCTATGTTCCATCCTTACATGGATTGTATTAATTATCTCACTAAATCCTCTAGATCATTTTTTTATTTCAAAATATATTTAGTTTGTTTTTTATCATTTATTTCATTGATATATTTATTATTATTTCACAATAATATTATCGATTTTTAACCAGGATTTACATCAATGCCTTTTTCATCTAATTCTTTCTTAATTATTATTCTTTATTTTCTTTATGATTTCTCAGAATTATTTCTTCATTCTCAAAATATATTTATTTAAAAGTTTTCTAATTTTTTTTATCCATGGAAACCTATTATTGATCTCACTAACATTATGAATTTTAAAATAAATTTCTTAGTTCTCATTTTCACTTCATCATTACCTGTAAATTTACTTACAAGGATCATCCTCTCTATTTATACATCATATGCATTTTAATTTCCATCATTTATTTATCTTTTCTCATCATGAGTTTTCATTATTTATATAAGTCTTATTGTCTTCGATCCTATGGTTACACGAGATTAACAAACAAAATTTTTATTTAAATAATAAAATCCTTTTCCCTAAAACAAAAATAGTAAAACCAACCGAAAAAAACCCAATCCAAACATTTTCAACCCGATAGACCCGGTTTATTGGGCTTTATTTTGAATGAAACAAAAGCGGGAAAGCAAATGCTAGTAAAGAAGAAAATCGAAAGAGGGAGTGTGAGAGAGAAATGGAAGAAACGATATCTGAATTTAGCAAAAGCGTAGGCAGCTTCTGCAACCACCTCCAGTCTAGCTGCGACGCTCTCAAACAATCCATCGACCGCCGCCCCATCCCTCTCGGTAAACAACACCCCCACCTTCCCCTGCCGCCCCCCTTCTTTTTCATTCAACAATTTAAACAGTACATCTTCTTCTTCTTCTTTTCCAGATTCGGCTTCATCTACGTATATCCAGTGCTTAAACAGAAGTGTAGCGAGCGCAAGCAGCGATCTCAACTTACTAGAATCGATGTCATTTGGTACCGTTTCTTTTGAGGAATTATTAGGTCATTGCAATGAAGTTTACAAGAACAGTGAGAATCGTATTCTTGATATTCAAGATCGTCTCAGGAGCTTCGGTTATGTTCCTGCTGGTACTTTCATCTTTTACTCTGTTTATTATTTGTGTTTGAGTCTTTACAAAATTACGAAAAATAAGTTCTTTTTCTTAAGGAAATTTGGTTTTTTTTTTTTAAAATAAATAAATTAAAACTGATAAAATTGATAATGAATAGTCATGTAATTGGAAATGATGCAGAGAAATCAAGGATGGTAGAAAGTAGTGTTTTTGGGTTTTGGATTTTGTTTCATGATTTTTTATCAAATTAAGAAATGCAAGTAAAAAAGCCACATGTTGGATTGAGATAGGCGCATTTGTAACTGTAAATGCTGTTCTGTCTGAAATTTTATGCACATCTATGACTTGTGTTGATTGCTTTTTTTCTTTTATTAATTGTTTTGCTTTTAGAAGTTGAGATTGATGATGAAGCGGATTTGAGTGTATCGATGGCGCTAGGTTTAAACTTGAAGGATGAAATGGACCCTTCTGCAGCTTATAATGAACCGGTGTCTGTGGCAAGTTCAATCATGAAGAGTTTGGAAGAGGATCCTTTGTATCCTTGTTTTATACTATCGCTGTTTCATTACTTCTCTCCTTGTTTCTTTAACATGGAGGATTGGAACTTTTTTTCCATGTTCCTGGCAAAGAGTGAACTGATAAGAAGGGTTTGTTAGGATTTGATTGAAGAAATTCTGGGTCATTTTCATTATCGCATTAAAGTGGATGAGAATCTTGTTTGCCTTGATCTGTTTTTTTAGAATGGACGGGACGTTGAGCTTAAAGAGTCTTGGGCTTTCAGATGTCTGTCTTGCCACTTTAGCAGCTGAAGGTAGTCTCTTGCCACTGCTATACTTCAATTTCAGATTGAATGAATTGCAAAATCATATACTGATTTTGCTCTATGTGTGATGGTTAGATGGATTTCTTGCTGTAAATACTTACAAGTCTGCCTCCTACATCGCTGATTTGTGCTTTCTACTAATTTCACCTCTCATTCTCTGCAGCTAACAGTAAGATAAATGATCCCGATATATCTATGAGAGACACAAAGAAGTAAGTTGTTGAACTTGTATTTTGTGCTTCGCAAGGAACTTTCAGTGTTTCCTTTGCACATTCTAAATTGTTCATGTTTTAGGTATTATGGAGACAATTTACAAAACGTGAAGATTCTGGACGAAAATACTGCAAATATGGGAGTAATTGAAGGTAGAAAGCTGTCATTGAGATTTAGCTATTAAAGGTTTTTCATGTCATTCCAATTTAACAATGAAACAATACCAAGCACCAATGAGTATGTGGTTATCCTTCGTTGTAAAATCCAGGTGAACTGGAACCAGCTGAAGCTCTTAGGGCTGTTGTGAAGGCTTCAAAGGATGATTATGAAAGTCTTCCTTCCTACATGAAAAGTCTAACATCATGGGAGGTATGGATGACTAGTTTCCGTCCTTAAGATTGAGCTGATGTTGTTTGATCTTTCCATTCCAACTGAATATATTCAAGATAGCCTTTCTTTGAATCTTGACTGTAAAGGTTGCTTCATGACAATTGTACTGAATGCTGAGGAGCTAGTTTCCATGTAGCACTTCATTTTTCCTAATGGTCTTATAGTTGAAACTTGAAATAACATCAGTAGGCTTTTTGAAAGGATTCTGCTTTTCTGTCCTTCGTAAGCTGGAGTTGGTACGAAATTTCTCGAAGTATAATTGGACGGCAATGATGTTTCTTGTATTGGTTTGGAGACAGCACTTTACACAATTATACCAATACATAGGATTGATAACCAGCTTGGTTAACGTTGGGTTTTCCCATTTATGACGTTCGTGATGTTTTTCTGTGCTTGAACTTGCAGGATCTGCTTGCTGCCGTTGAGAAAATCAACTCCAGCCTAAAGAAGAAGGATAAAACGAAGGGAAATAATTATTTCCGCCAAAATGAAATCACATCAATGGATTTAGGTATGTATTGTCATCTCGCTGTCATATACATTTCATTACTCGTTTGCCACAGGCATTTTTATCCATTTCGATGTTAGAGATTGATCAACAAGGGTGGGACTCAAACTTGAGATCTCACCCATAGAATTAGAAATATTGCGGGTGTGCATTTGAAGTTGTGGTTTTTCTAGCTGCAGTCCATTGACGACTCACGTTTTGCTTTGGTGCTATTTGCTTGTATTAGGGCCTAAAGCAAGAACTTATTTGCTGCTGCTCACACGCATGAATCAGCTGGCTGTTGAAACTGTTGATGGCTTGATATCCTATAAAGTTCTATAGACAAGATATGATCCCTTTCGCATACAACTGGCTTAGTAGATTAAACCAACTGTGCCTTCAATTTTTATGAAAATTTTCTGCAATTTGAGATTGTGATAAACCAAATAAATATTATGGTGTCTATTTGAGATTGTAATAAACATATAAATATCAAACCAAAATAAATTTTATTATCTAGTAAAAATCAACAAAAAAAATAAATAAATGATGAAATTAAAAAAAATAAGAAAAATCAATAAAGATTCAATTGTGATGGATCAAATTGAAAGAGAAAAAAAAAGGACAAAATTTCAAGCATGTAAGCTTTTTTTTTAAAAAAACTCTAGATAACTTGAGTTATTTTTAAAATTAATTAAAAATTTTATAGAAAGTAAAAAAAAATAGAGTTTGATTTTCAATTAAATAAATGTTAAAATTAAAATAACAAGAACTAGAAAGAAAAAAAAGAGGCAAACTTGGACAAATTTTCTAACCTTAAGGTAAAATTATAGATCTATGCTTGATTAAAAAAACTTAATTCTTGATAAAATTAAAAAAATAATTTAAAAAATTAACCAAAGTAAAAATAAATAAATAAGAATCAAATTTAATAAAAAAAATCTGAAGGATGAAATCATGAAAAAAAATCAATTTTAAAATTAACTTGAAAAAAATAAATAATAATAAAAAAAAATGAACTAGATCTAATTGATAAGAAAATAAGATAATAAAATTGCAAATAAATTCTAATCTTATAAATAATTTCAAATAAAATAAATAGTAAAAAAATATAAAACAAATTCAAAGGAAGAAAAAAATTGAAGGGTTATTGAAATTTTGCAAGGTCAGCCATAGAAATCAAGAAAAGAAAAAAGAACATGAAAAGAAAAAAAAATCACCAGCACCCACACGCACTGTCAGGGAAGGAAGAGGAGCTGCCAAAACAATTTGAACACTACCATAAAAACTATCATTTGGACACCTAAATCCCCTTCACGCTCCCGCCCGAATGGAGCGGGAAGAGGCCAAACGCTGATGCGTGTATTTTTTTAATACTAACTATATTTTTTAAATGACTACAATGCCTTAAAATCAAACTAATTATAACAAATAATAAAAAAATCACCGTGAAAAGACCCAAGACACTATGGGATGTAAAATTTAGTTTTTTATTTTACAAGTGGATTAGTTATTTCACAGCAGCTAAGGAGAGGTGGTCTAGGGAATTGGAAGCTGGGTGCATCCGGAAAATCCAATCACCAAGGGGGGAGGTAGGCTAGATTAGTTAACATACCAAATACCCCGGTATTTTACGAGGTAGGCTAGATTAGTTAACATACCAAATCCTATTTCACTTGGCAACATTCCATTTGAATCCAGGCTGAGGTTTCAAAGTTGTTAAATATCTATCTATATTGAAGAGATTATCACACGAATCTGGCGACTCACCATGCACGCACGCACGCACTATGATAAAAAACCGACTGAGTTTGAGAACCACCACATAGGCCGCAGTCAGCATAAAGCGATGTCCCATTGCCACCCATCAGCAGTGCCACTACCCCGAACTTAAGTGATAGGGCTTTCACATGTGACCTGGATAGAGAGAGAAATACGAAACAAAAACTCGCGTGTAAAACAATATAAGGATTTTGTCAAGAACAAGTGTGCCAGCTAAAACCCTTTCGAAACAAATGAGAACCACCACCGCTATATTAGGTGACAAAGGTGGTGGTGCTATAAAACCAACCTGAACCACCACTACACTATCAAAGCTCGGAACCGTAAGCCAATCATTTTACAAGCCCATCCCCCAAGATAGGGAAAAAGAAAGAATCAATGTCAAACACATCCAACTATACCCCGGTATACATCCCTTAGTCAAAATCTTCTTATGTACTGCTGCTAGATTACCCTGGAGCTGTATATCGTGGGAATATCACACCAACCTCTTAAAACAAGGAGGTGTCTGCATTAGGAGAAAGGCAAGAAAGGACCAGGAGCTCAAGCAGGGTGTATCAACCATAACAACACACTACATAAGGCGCCCCCCCACCCCCCCTGTCGTCACATCAGAGAAACATATATGGCCTACAAAACCATTTATCAAATCCTACAGAAATCACTTTAATTCGCACTTCATTGTCTTCTTCCTTCAGATGTACCATCCATTCTCATCCCCTACGTTGTAGCATGAAAGATGTTCGACTCAGCTTTACGTGCCGGTGGAGGGTAATTTGCTCTTCCCTAATTGTATATTTTAACAGGCTTCTCAAATGTGTGACGGTTCTGCAATATTTTCAGACCAATCAATGAAATCTCCATGGTTTCACGAGATGAAAAGAAAAAACTAGGGTAATGCTAACACCAGCATTTATTGACAAACAAAATGACTCAAAGTTTCCATGAGAGTAATAACTGATCTCATGGCTGAGAATATGATCAGTTATGGAGGTAGTCTCAGTACCCACATGCACTTCATTTGTAGTTGAATGAGAGATGCAAACCTGATTTACAGCAAAAGACCTTTTAGGAGTATTATCAGAGTGCTCCAACCCAAGGTACTGCTCCCAAGCACCATATACATCTCTTCTCTGAAAGACAAGGTAAAAATACTAAATGCAGATACCCGCAAAAAAGAGAGCCAGTAAAGGACGCATATGCTAGGAAATGCCGAAATAAAAGCAGGTTCACAAGGGAGGGAAAAAAAAGAGAAGAAGCAGCCTTGTAACAGCACCTGAAAGCGGGTGAACACAACATCAGAATCCTGCAAATACTCTGGACGACCCAGTGACAGAAATGCAAATTTCCACTGAGCAACCAAAAGAAAGAGGGTTGATGAGGAATTGTATTCATATTCTGATATAAAACCACGTTACTGAAGGAAGCAAAAGCTAAACTTCGCAATCTAATGCAAGATAACTGGTAAGTGTCAGGCAGGGTGGTTTATATGTTTGTTTCCTTAACCAAACAGTGCAAAGAAAAAACCAAATACCTTAGCAAACTCCTCATCAGGAACCTGCAGCTTCTTTTGTATACGCATTTTAACTTCGGCTAAGGTTTCACCTTCATGGATGGCCAAGAAAAAGGGTTCACCAAAATTCTGTACTTGCTATTGAGGACACAAATATAAAAGTATGTAAGAACCTGGAAATATCCCTATTCAATAACAGCCATAAGATAAAAGCCAAAAATCTAAAACCAAGTAAAATCTGTGGATGAAGTATCTATAAATCATACCATTTGATTCTGTCCAGACTCTTTCGTGAAGTGATAAACGTGAATCAGGCGATCTTGGGGACCAAGATTTTTTTCTTCCTCGGGAATCTGCAGAATTTGAGAGAGAGGGAGAGAGAGAGAGAGCGAGAATGGGGTGTCAAAACATTATCTCATTTCTGAAGGTGTCCAGGATTGTTAATCAACTGAAAGTAAACTTCCTGTTTGTTGGCCTGAGTTATCATAACATTTACTAATTACATAAAGGTAAATCACAATCATGCCAGAGGCTGTTTGTAAAAGTAGCCAGTCAACAACCTTCAAATATTCCACTAAATAACATTCGATAAATTATGTTTCATTAACAAAAACTGAACAAGTCAGGATAATATATTCATAATAACCTGAAAATTACAAGTTCAACAGAAATTTAAGATCTTAGTTTTCATTTTTATTAATAAACTTGAGACAGTTTCTAGAAACATACCATTTAAGAATAGAACACTGATTAATATCTGCCATTTGACACATACTCGGTGGAAATTTTGGTATGGCAATGGTTTATTATAAATGGAAGCTTATAATTTTATTTGGCTCACACCTATGATAGTTCATGTTGGCACTCTCCCAAAACTCCAAACCCACAGTCACGCATGCTTACACATTCATGCCCTATGCCTTCACATTTCAAATAGCACTTCACCATTGACTGTGAAATATCAGAACCTATGAATTGTGTGAAAATACGATACTTCGAATTCAGGTATAAGATATAAGATGAGGTATAAACCTTGATTTATACTATTTGATATTTGAATGAAATCAATTAAATTAAATAATTAATTCATAAAAAGACAAAAAAAAAAAAGTAAGTTGTTAGTATCAAAATTATGAGACAAAATTTTTTGTTTATCAAGACTAGCTCATTTTTCTACATAAATTACATGATAATCCACTTGTTTGTTATTCTTATTTTATTATCTTTTTATTGTCTTTTAATTTGAATTTAATAAAGAGTTTCTCCAGCTAAGGGCCACGTCCAACTTCATCCCCAGCCTAACTATGATACTTCAAGTTCATCCACAAAATCATAGGTGAAAGGCAGATGAGATATTTCCTAGATAAGACAAGGAGAAAAAGGACTTGCCTCCTCTGCCCGCAACGTCCAATACTGATCATTTATATTCTCAATTTTTTCATTGGGTGGAAAGATCTGCAATGGCAAGATGGCAAACTGAGTCAGAAGAAACCACCCATAAGCGCTGCCAGCAAAACATCTAAAAAATCCAATGCATTAGAATAAAAAAAAATCTGAAACTCATAGATCAGGTTTCATACACTTTGTTGAACACATTATCATTGCTATTTAACCAGGAAGGATAATTATTGATTAGCAGGAAACAAAATTGAGTGATGAAGTCATTATCTTATATATGCTAACTGAACCAGTTAGTACCTTATAAATCTTGTGATAAAATACTTCAAGCACTCGAAGTTCAGCATTTGGGTGAGACAATTCTACCTGTTTCAGCATGAGCCAAGCATTAGAAAATTTATCACATGCAGTGACAAGATATGGTGTGAGAAAAGGGAAAATATAGCAAAAAATATGTACTAACAGTAAAATCTATTCAACAGAATAGATTATGAAGAAAATAATTATAAGACATCTAAAATGAAAAATTGGTGAAACTTGAGAATTAAAATGTTCTGTTTTGGTATTATAAATAACAGTCCAGATCAAGCAGGCACATTGAAAATATGCTTCAGGAACAACCACTTCAGTACATTTCTTCAGCTAAGAGGTTAGAGATTAAAAGTTCTTACCTTAGTTTTAAGTTCATTAATCACATCCCCCACGGTGCTTTGTTTAGGCAATCTAATGTTATGAATTACCACCTGTTAATAGTCGCAATAAGATTAGAAGAAAGACATGAAGATGATCAATTAAATAAGGCATGAAATTAACATAGCCATAGATTTCATACTTCATCTTTGGTAGCGTGATGGAAAGCAACTTTTAAATTTTTTAGACCTTGCAACTCTGGAAGAGGAATATCTAGAACTTCGTAATACAAGATATCAGAAGTCTGTCGAAAGAAGAGAACAGGTAAATTATTAGCCATGTTATATAGTTTCATTAACAGTATATGAACCAATGACTGCAATTCATGTAGCAAATACCTGATTGTAGTGAACTAACATATCTGATAGATGCTCCACTCCTCGATATTTAATTGGCTGCGGCTTAGGCTGCTGAGAGTAGCAGTTGTGGGATCTTAACCTGATTTTGGATGGATCGTCCAAACCAATCTGGCGAGCTACTCTTTCAACAACATCATCATAAGTGTGTAATTTTGACCTACAGAAACATCAAGAGTATAAATGAGTCTCTACAACAGCACTGGAGATTTCTCAATCGAGCATACAACATTACTTGGGATGTGATTACTTACAACTCTAGCCAAAAATCATCCTCTTTTGCCTTCTCTAGGGATCGGAAACGAACTATCTATAAAGAATCAAATAACACAAAAGAATTGACTATAAAATTGACAAATCAGGAGAGAGGTTTGATGAAATTGAATAATTCAATATAATCTAACTACTATATAAATAGTTGAGGAATACAAAAGGTGCCCCTCTTGAACCTAATCTGCCCCCATTTCTAAAATTCTTTTATAAAAATAAAATGAGATGCCTGGAAAATCTCATTCAAGAAGAAGGTACCTGCCGATTGTGCACATATTCCAAATACGTAGGCACATCTGGATTTCGACAGTCTTCTTCAATTTCAGGAGGAGATTTCTGAAAGCATATTATGTCCCCGTCTTCAATCTGAGGATAAGCACCTAAAGGTCAGTGGCTGATCTGATAATCTGATAACATTCTAGCCTAAGTGAAAAAAACACATACCTGACTTGTTTGAAATGAGGCTCTCTTATCAAGGTGTTCACACATGACACGAGGCTCAAACTTGATTTCCTGAACAGCACACAACAAGTATAATCTTTCTGCTAGGGCAATATCTGCTTATGAATATTGAATTAACTTGCGCTCTTGGTTTGATTTTATGGTTAAGAGGGTGTTTAAGAGTGATAATTGTTGCTTTTCAAAATGCTTTTTACTTGGAAAAACATCAAAATAATGTTTTTCTTATTTTTTCATATTCATTTTTGACATCAGCATGCCAAAACGATCCAAAAAAACTAAAAAAAATAATTTGAAGCAAAAAAAAATAAATTTTGATGAAAAGCAGGTTAAAGCTCACTCCCAAACACTCTCTAAGTCAATTTCCTTGATTGAATAGTTATGTTAGCCAGCTATGATACAAAGTATACTTGATATAGACAAACCTCATAAAGTTCAATCTCTTCCTCTGACGCAAAGCCAGCCATTTGATTAAGCTTTGCTAGAATTTCTATCAGTTTACTAGAATTCTTCACAAAAAGCCTACCAACATATCTGGGATCATGGAGTAATTTGTCATGTCAGAGGCATCAAGATTCAAGAGAATGCAATGGACAAAGATAGGACAGCAAAGAGGAGCCAAAGATTATTAAGTACCGTAATTCTTGTTTTACAGGGTCATAAAGCTTGAAGAAAAGCAGAATATCTTCTTTAGTTTTTTCAGGTGGAGCAATGGGACGTAAATCCTGAGATATTGCAAACCTCAGTAGAAGCATGACATTTTCTGGATAGAAATATAAGTGCAAATGTTAAATTTGATCATTTAGAAAAAAAAGAAAAGAAATACCAGCCCAAGCTCAACTTCCAAGAACAACTTTAATTCAGCATTATGTGTCTTATTTGACACCTCTCTCAGTTGTCCAACCTACAAACATTAAATGGCTATCATTAAAATTAGGTGACACGAAATCTCCAGAAACATTTTAAACCACCACAGTGCAAATTGTTTTTAAAAACAACACTTCAATGTGATCAAAACAATTGTATCATTCCATTCCACAGTCAATGGCCACAAAGTTTCACCACTAGTAGTTACAAAAAAAAAAAAAAGGCCTGATGTTGGGATTGCAAACCAAAAGGTGTGTTATTTGAAAGCACATGGCCAGAAGGCATCACCAATCAGTCTAAAAATCCGGAAACCTGATCCAAGTCTTTTCTTACTTGAAGCAGAAATAATCATGCAAGTATCTAACAGAAATACAAGTCACTCCACGACAATGCAATCAGAGCTTTGATAAATTAACTTTGAACAAGAAAAAAATAGCTAGTTACTGATTGTGCTTCCTCCTGGGGAGTCAATGGTCGATTGGGTCTATATGTGTGGTTTTGGCGCTTTGCCCATATCCAAAATCTCTGAAATTGTACTGGTATACCAAGCTCTTTAGCAACCTCCTCCTGTAATCCAGCTCAACATTAGACATAGAAATCTACATGCTATCTCATCATCCACAATGTCAAAATACTCAAAAATCACACCCATTTAATACCTTAAACAGACTAAACTGTGTCTGTTTCTGAATACGGAAGTTTCGGACTTTGTCATGATCCACGAGGTCAAAATAAATATCCTTTCCAATTTGCTCTTTAAGGTCCTCATCTCGCGCAACCTAGATGCCATACTAAATAGCTTTATTTATGACTTACAAGCATCCCTTGAGGTAGATGCAGGTCATCGCTAACAATATACCATTAAAAAAAAATAAAGCTGGGAAAGAAAAACCTTTATAATTGTGTAAAGGTGAGCTTGTGCTGTATATCTTCTCTTGTCTTCCTTTTCTTCTTGTTCTTTCTTCAGCCTTATCTGGAACAAGATGTTGAATGAATCAATAATCAGTCATCATTGCGATGTGGAAACTCTTAAATAACATAGTTATATTTACAGAACTTGTTGCAATTATAAGTAAAGAAAGTAATTTACCCTCAAGTGTTCAGCAATGTCTTTCTCATCAACATTACAAATTATCTTGTCCTTTTCACTTTCCCGTATATACACAAGCATGTATGCATTTGAGTATTTTGTGAATTTAAATGGAGTATTGTTAAAGCCAGGATTGGTCTGAGGTAGCTGGCAGACATAGCAGAACAAGAGCACATCATTCACCATCAATCACATGTACCATTCATAGGATTTACAGCAAAGTTTGAGAACCATTACCTCTTCCTCACCACCATACTGCTCTTCTAAGGCCCTCTTTACATCTTCCTTTGTCACACGTTCATCATCAAATTTGAACCTAAAACAAGAAAATCAAGTATCATATGGTGTGAAAAACTATCAAGTTCTCAACATGAGTACAACTATTCAGACATGGGTAAAAATGTGAAGGTTCTGACTAAGGACTATTATACTCAAAAATGAGTGTATAGGTTGTTATCGGTTTCATTTTCCTAGAATTGATATTATGAGGAGTAAGCATATTATGTGTGCCTATGACCAAGCTTAAGGTTAACAAGCACACCATTGATCAGAGAGGGTAGGCCTGATAAAAGCATAATAATGTCCACCATGCACACCTCCACTGTGAACCAAAACACTGCAAGGGAAAACAAGCATATATATAGGAGATGTCAGCACATTATCAGACATTCCAAAAAACATAACTTCCGAACCATGGAAAGAGAACTATGTGCAATTTATATTAGGTGCATGCAGTTCATGTTTCTCCAACATGTCAATCTTTCATCCACTCAAGCTCATAGAGTTTTCTTTCATTCCTATGCTACTCTAGCAAGTCATGCACATCCCATGTTGCTATTACATTAACAGCAATGACTATTTATGGGGAGACGGGAAAAGGAGATCAAAAATCTCAAGAAATGGCTTAAACAATACAACATTTCTTTTCTTAACAATACAACATTTCTTTCTTTTAAAACTTGTAAAGATTTATGATAGTGATAGTTATAATTTTACTTTAGTTTACCACAAGATAGAAGCATGCTTCGGTTTGAAGGTAGTTTGCATTTCACTTAGTTGCTCTAGCTGCTGCAACCAGTTGTCACACTATTATGAGTTTCTTGAGTAGTTTTAGTTCATGTCATGCTAGCCCTTTTATATGTTGTAACAAACAATACTATCAGCTGGAATAGATAGACTATCTGATATCCCATTAAGGCCACAACTCTTCATGTAAAGTGTATATGACCGATTCAGTAGCAAAACACTGAGTTTTTCCTCCAACTTAATTGCTTTAACTCCAAAAAAAGTTCATAGTTTGATTTTACTTTACAAAGAACCATGCAGCCTTGACAAGCGAGGAAGACAAGCTCCAGTCAGTTAATTGCAGCCATACAAGCACAGAAAAAAAAACCATGAATCAAGACAGTCATGATAAAAACCATGGCAATGGAATGTGAATTTCTGGGGGCCAAAAACACCATGTGACTTACCTGTGAAGTGTGTATAGATTTCGCACACTCCTGTCAGCTTCAGGTGATAAGTATTTCCCATTCTCCCTGTCCAGGTCAAGTTGAAGAGGAAATTCATAGCGATCATTAATCTACAAAAGCAAAGAGAAATCAGTAAGTGGAAACAAACATATTTGGCTTAAGTAGCAATTTGTCCATCAGTCAATCCACTACAGTTGTTTAACATATCCTAGCTTATAATGGGCACAAAGCAACAATCCCACATAACATATTTACCAGAGCAACCTGTTACACCTACTGACCTTCACCATAGTATCGCGCATAAAATCATATTCAAACCGCTTTAATTGGAGTTGAAGAACAGGGGGAAAGTCGATAAATAAGACACCCTTCTTTGCATCCTGAAACAAATACAAGTTCAAGCACATGCCACCAAAAGAATGACCTTAGGAAGCGATCTAAAATAAATGGTTCTGGTAGAAAAGAAACATGGAGGATAACCCAAAAATATGCCCATACCATTCCTCAATGGCCTCGTCTTAACTGACAGTTTAAAAAGATGCATGGACAAATTACATCACTTCTATGGGCAACTCCTCATACTACCTAAAATATAATATACAGGGTCTAACCAGGAACAGCAATTTGTCTGGGAATTACCAGAACCATCTCTTTTAATGACAAAAATTTAACTTGCAGTTTGCAGAATGAAACTGTAAAATGCAGCATAGCTATGATAAGACAAAAAAAAGTTGGCACCAGATATGATTAAATGCACGGGATGTAAGACACGTAATTGGTCTTCATGCATTTTACAATGGCCTTATAATTAAGCTTCTTGTTTTTTGTACGAGGCACCATGAGATGCTAACTAGTACTGGCTTCCACATTTTTATGTGTATGTGCGTGAGACAAGAATTGTTCGAGAGTGAATGCATATATTTCAAACTGCTTAAACAAATCATATAGTCTGGCTCCCATCTATTCACAAGCATTGACTGACCTGCAAACCATGTTCTTCGGCATGATATTTGTTATCACCCTCAAGTCGTTCAACTTCCACATATTTGTCAAAAGAAGCATAAACATCTCGACAACCTTTCACATCAAGCTGGAGATCTGCCATGTAATATCTACACATCAGTGTCTAATGAAGACATCATTACACAGAACTTTCAAATGCTGACTAAATATAATACCATAAAATGACTCCTTTCGTGTAGATTTGTATTCCACATTGATGCACTCAATGTAGTTCATATGGTGACCCTCAAACAACTGCTGTATAGTGCCCTCCACAACAGTCCCCTGGATCAGCAGAAAAGAAGTTGAATACTTCAAGTTAATGAAAGTATATCCCAAAACCACTGAATGTTCAATACCTTCATTTTATCCTCTAGCTTCTCACACAGGACCCTGTTAAGCTCTTGCACGTCATGTTGCATGAAGGAATCATATGTATCCCAGCCAAAAGATTTGGTCAGTTCCTTTGTTGCAACACTGGTATCATTATATTGAAGCTTATAGAATAAACTCTGCAGGGCCAATGGAATGCTTCCTGTAGGCATGTCATTCTCAGTTGTTGGCATGTGGTACACCGCCTGGAAAAATAATTTTCAGAATGAGGCAATTCCATTTGAACAATGTGTTCATACAAGTCATGATGAGCCTTTTTAAAACTGAGAATGTGCTGACCTTTCGGAAGTAGGAAATATGGTATAGAGTCTGTAGGAGAGAGTTCATGTAACATGTTGCTCCTTGGTTTTTCAGTCCTACATAGCCCGTCTCCTTCTTTGAGTCATAGGACCAATAATCTAAAACCTTGCAAACAGCAACTTCAGCTTCAATAACAACTGTATCATTCACTAAGTATCCTCTGCTAGGATCATAAAGTTCACTCAGAGGCATGAAAGATGTAAAGCCCCAGTCACTCTCTCTTGCATTGAACTGATGTTGTGTGTCTGCAAATGTATTTTTAAAAGAGAACGCAGTATTAAATAATATCAAAGTCCACAATAAACTTCAATAAGAGAACACCAAAAAGAAGTTGACTGTGGTGCTGACATCTTCCTTACACGACATATTGTTTCCATACATTTAACAAAACTAACCAAGATCCAAGCTCAACCAACCTCCATTATGATAATTTCTGAACTAGCTAGTTCAAGATATCCAGAACCTGTTATTTTCCCGGACCGAATTACTGGAATTCGTTTGACAGCTTTTATAGATCACAATCTGTAGAAGTTGCTGCTTTCAGCATAGTGAAACAATAATTTAACAAGCATCCCAAACCCTCAAATAACAAGATACTCGAGTCTATAATTGATCATATTATTGGAAAACGCTCACAATGACAAGGATTCCAAACTCTGTCGGGTGTTTATTGTGGTGTGCAAACTGAATTCTAATCTAACCTTGTATATGGATTGCACCACCTTGGTGCATTTACTTTTCTTTCAATTCACTTTGGAAATAAACAATCATTGGCAACTTCTCTAGAAGTCATAAGATTATAAAATAGGCAATTATTGATAATATATCTATTGCGGTCATAAAAGGTTACAAAGAACAAGTGCTCTACAGGAAAAATAATGATGTACTCAGGCAAGCAATCTAAATATAAGAAATTGATCCAATGTATAGACATACGTAATAAACTAAGAACAAAAAGAAAATGCCCAACTTGAAAATAAAATTACAATAACAGAAAGAGCCATTAAATAGGGGACACAAAAGAAGATACCCTTTCTAATCGAGTATTTGTTATGAATTTGATTGACCACAGCCAAACTGAATTGCGCATATCTACTCCATCCATATGGCAAAGCTGTCGAATCCGCAACATCCAAATACATCGACAGGTGGTCCACGTTGTTTCCTTTAGGGAATATCAGTACTCTCCTGTTAATAACACACTAAAAGAAATTAACCACAAAATGATACAAACTCCGACAAATGCAAATCATAAGCAACTCCAACTAGTAAGAAGCTACATTGTTTATCCACCTACCATTTGTAACTGCCAACAATAAATATATCAGAATAATGCTTCTTTGTGTTCAACCTAGTAAAATTCTCAATAGTCCAAGTAAATTTCATCGATGGAGGATCCTCCACAGGCTGATTCTCCACGGTACTAGTTTGCTCCACTTGTGCCACTACTACCACATCAAAAAATTACAATCACCCCAAAATTACCAAACCCTAACATATTAATCAAAACGTACAATACACTCTAGCAGAAGATCCGTTCGATCACATACAACGAATTATAAAAAGAAGAAGAAGAAGAAGAAGAAGAAGATTGAACTCTCTAACCTTCCATTGGCTGAGGACCTTCAACTATATCTGAATGCGGTACGAGCATCTCCTCGTCTTCTTGCTTTAAATTAGTAAAAAAACTAATAATTAATAAACCCAAGCCTTAAAAAACCAAATACAAAAATCAAACTCTATCGTAAAATCGAGAAATTAACAGAAACCCTGGTCGATCCAAAAAAAATACAAAATAAGGAGAGAGAAAGAGATTACGTCTAACGGTGAAGGAGTCATCATAGTCATGGGTGGATATGGACCGTTCGATCGAGCGAATCAGAGGGGCAAGAATGAAAACGAGAGCAGGGACTGAGAATAAGAGAAGAGAAGCGAAAGCGGGATTTTTCTGGTAGCCAGAAGAGACACGCGCAAAAGCACTGGCTAGAGAGAGAGAGAGAAGAAGGGGGCATTTGGTGTCTGAAGGCTATTTATGTGATTATAGGAAACAAGCCGGGGTAATGTGGGAAAGAGAGAATCGATATTGTGCCTCGTGGATACATTGAGAAGAATGACCAATAGAAGTGTGACACGCAGAGAATGAGTTTGGTGATGTACGGAATTGATGACGTGGCTGTTTGGATCCTGGGTTTCTCGTGCGTTCAGGTGGGTGACATCATCTTTCTTTGTACTAAAAGTAGCAAGGACTGGCTGCTTCTTTATTGTTTTGCCCTTTTTCATTCTTAAGTATTTTTAATAAAAAATCGCAGCTTAATTAATTAACCGATAATTTCTTAACTTATACAGCAAACTCGAATTTGAGTTTGATTGAGAAGAATGATAACATGCAGAGATAATTAACCTCCTCAAAATCATAAAATAAGATATATTTTGGATCTTCAATTAAAAAAATAATCTTTTATGCTTTTTTGTCATGATTTATATCAAAATATCATAATTTTTATTGAGTAATAGCAAATAGTAGATTAGTCAAACTAATGGAGTGTTTATTTTCACGTTACAATATTTAAAAATATATATATATTTTTATTTAAAAATTATTAAATTGATATTTTTAAGTGTTTTTTAATAATTTTGATACATCAATATATAAAATAAAAAAAATAAAAAAAATATTATTTTAATATATTTTTAATTAAAAATCATTCTACATCACAATATTAAATACATACAAAATTTTGGTATTTGACATTCAAATTTAGTATTTCAAAATTAATTTTCAATTAAAATTATTATATAGTGTTTATTGTATTACAATAAGTGTTTATTGTATTATAGAACTAATTTATAAATCACGCTCTCCTCGTGTCTAGGATTTAAAAAAAAACTTTAATGTAAAAAAATAATATTTAAATTATAATTTTTTTTATATTATAATGAAATTTGTTATAATAATTTAAAAAAGATCTTGATTTGACTATTTTATTTAGTAGAATTTTAAATTAAATCATATTAAAATTGTGTTGCATGACCTTGTTTAGTAGGTATGTTTAGAGAAAAAATGATATCTAAAAATAAAATTAAATAAAAACCAAATTTTATATTAAAAAATAAAATTAGAAAAACAAAAAAGAGGTTCAAAAATGCTAAAGAAATTAAAAAAAACTTATATTAAAAGAAGAAATTGGAAAAACAAAACAAAAAATAAAAAAAAGGTGCAATAAAACTTTTATTATATGATAAAAATATAAAAATTATTTTACCATAAATTCAATATAAAGAATAGAATTAAATAAAAATCTTATATTAAAAAAATTAAAAATAAAGGGCTAAAAAATCCATTATAAATGTTTTAAAAAAAACTAGAGTTTATGCTGTGGCTTTTATTTTTAAAGGTAATATGATAGAGGATATGTCTAAAAATGTAGCAGTAATTGTTATTTAAAATATTTTTTATTTAAAAATATATTAAAATAATAATTTTTTATTTTTTAAAAATTATTTTTAATATTAACACATCAAAATAGTTAAAATTATATACAAAATAAATTTTTTAAAAATATAATTTATACCGTATTACGCAATAAAAAAACAATTAAACAAATATTCGGACCCGTGACCTCCATTTACCTATGACATTCAGCTAGTAATGAAACAGTTAAACAAATACTTGAAACTTTTGTCTTCTAAACACGAAATATTTTGCCGCAATGGAGGTTCAAACACGTGATCTCTGTTCTTCCACGCGTTAACAACTAAGCTCCAACACCCATAGCTTATAGCAAAATGATTAAAAATATATTTTAACTTGGTTAATTGTTTTTAGTATACTAACAGATGTTTAATTAAGAAAGGTATTCAGGTGCATTTTTTTTATGGAACATTTTTTTACTAATATTTAATGGTTTGTGGTGCTGAGATATTTTCTTTTTCTTTTTCTTTTCTTTTTGTGTTACTATGCTTAGAGTTTAATTAGTGCGAAGAGATATTTAATGGGTACCCAGCACAAGTTTGGGTGATTGAACCACAGGCTGGGAGGCTTTGTGGATAGAAAGGGTTTTTTTTTTTTTGCTCTAGTCTAGGATGTTTGATACATTAAGATTAAGAATAAGAATAAGAATTGAGATTATTATTAAGAAAAACACTAAATGGCGTGGTCGAAACATTGTATGCTATAACATAGATTATTGTGGGTTCGCACATTGTCTATATGTTATTTTATTTATTAAAAATTGTGTTACTCCAATTATATAATAATATTTTTTTAATTTAAATTTTTTATCAGTAAAAAATTAAATTTTATAATTTATTTTTTTGAGATTATTAAAATACCAAAATAATATCTCAATATTGTATTAATAATCTATTTAAATAAAAAAAAATTGCTTTGTTGCTTGCAAAACAATTAACTTTCCGAAACCCACTTGAGTTGAGGCAACAATGCAAGGTTTTTTTTTTTTTTTTCCTTTTTTACTATGAAAAAACGCCTTCTAACATATTTTTTCCTCAAGAATTTTATCATATTTATTTTTGATCATTTTATTTCTTTTAAAAAACATTTTAGAAATGAGCGTATTGGCAAGACAAAGGTTTATAGATAGGGAGATATCATTTTTATCTTTTAAATTGTCTATTTTTTTTACATGTCTTGTAATTGATTTTTATTGAATAAATGAAATAGAACAAAATGTTATCTTTTTTTGTTGGATTATAGATATTAATAAGAAAAGGAAAACTTATACTATCAAATTAGTTTGTTTCAATAAAATTAAATTCTTACTATTATATATATATATATATATAAAAGTGGAGTCATGTAATTAAATAAAAATAAATAAAGGGCTCCCCACCATACTAGACTCAATATCTTAATTTATATATATTTCTCAACTTCATAGCTTAATCTTTAATTAGAGTTAAGATATCTTCATCTATGTTTATAATCCTTGTTTGTTTCATTAAAATATTTATTAAATTTTGAGTTCATAATAAAAAAAATTATAGATACTAGAAAACTTGTTAGCAACATTGGTATTTTTTTTAATATTAAAAAAAAAGTGTTTTAGCTTAGCCATTTAGTTAGTCTTGAGTTATATAAAAAAGATAAAGTTCTCATTAAAATTCAAGAAAAAAACTAAGAGGCATCAATAAAGTTTCGTAGCTTGCAAGGTAAAACACTTTGGATTCATATAGTGTTTTGTTTTATTTTTTGGTCCTTTGATTTTTTTTTATTTTGATCCCTTTATTTATTTATTTGATTCTTTAACATTGCATTAATTTAGAATTGATTTTAATGATTTTTTTTATACCTATATATGGGGATCTTACAAAGTCGGGGCAATGTATCATCGCTTGATTAATGCTTGATTCGACAATATAAAACTTAATTTCATTGATTTAAAGGAATTAGATCTTCAAAAACCAAATTTGCAGCTTAAACAAAATGTTTAGTCCCTCTTGTTTGCTAATATTAGGGGTTGGTTTGCACAATTAGAGAAAGAGTTTTTTCATTTTTTTTTTCTTGTTATTCAACTCTTTTTTTATTTGATCTTTTTATATTGATTTTATTTGGAATTTGACTCGATATTTTATTTTAGTGGTCTAAATATCAGGTTCATTTGATAAAAAATTCCAGCACTTAATTGATGATCAGTTTGACAAAATAAAATAAAATAATATTGATGTAAAATAATTAGTGGTTAAAGGACTAAAATTAAAACTAAAACAAATATAGTGGGCTAGGGTGGACGGGTAGAGACAAGCTATATAATGAGTGCAGCCCACGCACCAACATGTGAAGGAAATCATCGCTTTCAAGCCGCATGCTGCTTACTCTGGCGGCCTAACATTGCCTTTCTTTGTAGCGATGGAAGTAATGTGGTAAGGCTATTACAGTGAGGTTATGCTTGTTAACACTAATTTTCATGATTTGTTTTGATAGGACGATTTTGATCTTATGAACTAATCACTAGTTTGAAAAATTAATATAAGTTAATAGGAATTTGAAGTTATTACCTCCTCCACATTTTGAACAGGATCGCTAGGGACTTGGTAAGGAAAGAGAGGCGAAATTGTGGTGTGAAAGGATACAAGTTTAACGTTGAATTTTCAGGGACCTTGAATAACAAGATAAGGTTGAAATCTAACTGTCAATTATATCGGATTAAAAAAAACCTCAACTTCAAATTATCTGATTTTCTGTCGACCAACGGAGAAGTGTGCTTCAAAATTAACAATTAGTTTACAGCTCATTCCCAGAGTTCTGATAAATAAGATGAGAATACCCAAATGTCAATGTCAAGCAATTTAAGGGAAAATTCTGAGAAACAATTAGCAAATACCTAACGCTAGGAAGGAAAATTAATGTGCGACAAGATACAAAACCCAATTTATTGTAATAATATAATCATGAAATTACTCTTTAGCCATAAAAGCTTTGGAATAGGTATTGAAGTAAGATTTTTTTTTTTTCTGTTATACAATTGGTTTTTGGCAAATTATGCCGGGCTAGATTGGCTAATTTATTTTTTTTTTTTTTATATTAAACTTACTAATTTAATCCTATAATAAAACAAACAAATTATCTTTCAAATAAGGGTGTTTTGATCTCTTTCTAAAGTTTTTTTAAAAAATAAAATTACTTTATTACCATTTAAGATAAAATTAATTAAACTCTCATGAAAGGAGTTTTTTTTTTCATTTTACATAAAAAAATTTGGTTGTTAATATTAAAACTAGTCGAGGCATTATTTTATTTAAATATTATTTGAAAAAACTTGGTGATTTGTACGAGCATACACTAATGAATAGGTGGTTTATATTTAGGCAACGTGTGTGATACTATCCTATCACCAAACATTGTGTTTTAAAATAGTGTTTGAATCATTTTGATCTTCTTTCCACGACAAGGCATGGAATGTTTTAAATGACCCTCTAGTTTAATGATGATTTTCTTTTTTTCTCCATTCAACTCCCATGTTGCCCCTTAAAAATTATAGTCTTTTCAATTTGTTTTTGTTTTTTTAAATTTGATTATTATTTATTTAATTTTGAATAATTTATAAAATTAGAATTTTTTTTCAATTTCATTCCCCTTCAATTTTTAAACCTCTCAAATTTGATATTCATTCTTCCTAGTGTTATTTGTTTTATTAAAATTAATCGTTTTTGCCATATCTTCCACCTTAAGTTTCTTTTCTATCAAATTTGATTTTTATTCTTTTAATAGTTATTTTTTTATTTTAATAGATTTTTTGAATTGATTTTTTTTATTTTATTATTGAACATTAAATTAATTGAGAATTAAAATTTTTAATTGAGGTCAAGTCTAAGATTTCATGGGTTGTGAGTTTTAGAGGTTAGCCTAAGTTTAAAAGATTCACCTGAGTTTAGTTGGTTTTTTCCTCTTTTATGTAGGCTTATTTTATCTCTAATTTCATCATTTAATATTTATTCAATTGAAGATTGGGCTTTGATATTTTTATTTATTTACTTTTTATAGAATTTTATACTAATTTTAAAAATAACTTGAGTTATCTTGAGTCTTTTTATTTTTTGTTTTTTGTTGAATTTTTTTGGTAGTTTTTTAAATTGATATTTTCTTTTTGATTTAATTATTCAATATTTGGAATAAATTTTTTAATAATTTATAAAATTAAAACTCGTTTTCAATCTCATCCCCCTTGAATTTCTGAATTTATCATATTTGATCCTTATTTTTTTGGTTGTTATTTTTTCATTTAAAGTGATTTTCTAAATTGATTTTTTTTATAATTTCATACTTATTGGGTTTTTTCTGTTAAATTTTATCCATATTCTTTTAATTTCTATTTTTTTTACTTTGATAGATTTTTAAAATTGATATTTGTTTTATGATGTCATCCTTTATCATTAAATTAGTTAAGTATTGAGTTTCTTGATTGAGTTCAGGTATTAGATTTTACAAGTTACGAGTTTTAAAAATTAACCAAGATTTGGGAGGTTTGCCTGATTTTGGCTATTTTTGTTTTCCTTCTTTAAGTTCATGTTTATTTTTATTTTTATCCTCTTGTATTTATTTAGTTAGAGATCGGACTCCATTATTTTTATTTACTTTCTTTCCATATGACTTTTTGATAATTTTGAAAATAACCTGGGTTATCTCGGTTCTTTTCATTTATCATTCTCTGTTTAATTTTCTTTCACTAATTTCTTAAATTGATATTTTTTTTCGATCCTATCCTTCAATGTTAAAATAGTTTAGGATTGAGTTTCTTGATTCAATCCGGGTTTAGGGTTTCATTACTTATGAGTTTGAGATATTCGTCAGGGTTTACTTGGTTCTGTTTTATTCTTTTTAAAGCTTATATTTTTTATTTTTTATTTTATCATTTATATTATTAGTGATTAAATTCTGTTATTTCTTTATCTGTTTTTTATAGGATTTTTTTAATAAAATCTTAAACTGACTTGAGTTATCTCAGGTCTTCTTATTTTTTTTATTTACTTAAAAGAAATTTTAAATTGATATTTTTTTTATTTTATCTTTTAATGTTATATTGTTTAGGACTTAATTCTCTTTTTTCCCATCCTTCAAGGATAAGGTTTCTTGATATTGAACATCGTGATTTTCTTTGATTTCTTTTCTAGTTATCTATCTCGATCCCATCAATTAAAATACAGGTTTGGTGGGTTGACATGGGCTGACCTGAGTTTATAGACTTGTTTTTTTTAAATTTTAATATTGTTTGTGAATCCGTCCTCCAACATTAAGGTTTTTTTTTTTTAAAAAAAAATAGAGTTTCCTCACATTTTTTAACTCGATTGCAGAGTTTGGTTGATTTGTTGGGTTTTTTTTAATATTGATATTTTTGTAGATTTCATCCTTTTATACAGAATTTGTATGAAATTAAACTTTGATTTTTTTATGTTTTTTATTAGTTTATTCTGGTCTCGTAATCTGATTAATATATTTGGTATATTCTCTAAGGTAGGCTCAAATTGTCTTTTTTTTTTTAAGTTTTGTTTTTTGACATTTGATTTTTGAAATCTTAACTTTATCATTTTTTTGTTTTTTTAACTGTTCAATTTTTAAAGTTACCATGATATTTTTCAGTTGGTTCATTTAATGTTATTATTTATTATTTATTATATAACTAAATTATACTAATATTATTTTGCTTAATCGAGTCTATAAGACAAGTTATTGTTGTTGGTGTTATTATTATTATTATTTACTTTTTAAAACATGTTTGCATATTTTTTTATTGATAAAAATATATATGTTGCGTGCCCACAGATCTAGTTAGCAAGTGATTCTCATGACTTTCACTTGTTTGTCAATGCTAGTTGTACGAAAGATGCAGAGATAGCTGCTATCCACATATTATGACTATGAAAAAATGAGTGCCAAATTATCTATCTGCCTGGTGAGGCACGCTATTGTTGATAACATTTTCAATAGACACACCAAAATGTCCAAAATATATTTGCTCATGGTTCATGCATGAAAAACTGTCTTGTTTTGCGATGCATAATAAATCTGGAACTCTCTGCCTGCATGAACACCATGTGTCCAAATGCTTGCAGTCAAAGTACCACGCAACACCCTTAACGTTTGACAATTGTTTCATATGATATAGTAATGAAGATGTTGTTATAAATAGAAGAAGATGCTGGGACAGGAATGATAATGGAGACAGGTGCAAATTTAGATTTAGAAAGAGTACTATTGCAAGAGCAGCCAGTGCAGCAGCCGTTGAAGGAAGCGCAAATCAGAAAGAGAATGAGGATTATGGTGGCTATTGATGAGAGTGATGGGAGCTTCTATGCTCTCAAATGGGCCCTCGACCATCTTGTCGATCGCATCACGCCAACAAATGTACCGAGCCAGGAAGAATCTAGCCTGATCACACTGGTTCATGTTCAACTGCCCTTCCAGCACCACATGATCCCTGCTGGTCCAGGTGGAGCAGGTTTAAGATCCCTTATATAAGATCTTTATGCTTGATGAGCACTGTTATTTGCCAAGTTAATTATGATTTGGTGATTATTTATAGTTAAGCACAGATTGATTACTTTCAAATTACAGCAGCTTTTTATGCAACACCTTCGATCGTAGAATCTGTGAGGAAAGCACAGGCAGAAAATGATGCGGCCTTACAGTCACGTGCTCTACAGATGTGCAAAGATAAGATGGTAAGCCAAAAAACAAATAAATATTGCAGTGAATGGTTATTTCAACTAGTTTTATGTATAAACGTTTCAAAGCCGAATGGAAATGCAATTAATCATATGGTATAGAAGTTTAGGGATCATAGTTTCCTTTCTCTTGTCCTTAATGTTACTGCAAATAAAAATATAATTATTTCTTACTCCTATACGTCAAGGCCATTTAAGGCCCTTCTTCTAAATCATGATGTTAAATGTTGTGCAGATCAAAGCAGAAAGTCTTATTCTTGAAGGGGAGCCGAAAAACAAAATCTGTCAAGCTACAGAACAAATGCAGGTTGATCTCCTTGTTCTAGGTAGCCGTGGTCTGGGCAAGATTAAAAGGTGATCGTTGTTAATTAATTTCCCAACTTGAATATCAGGTCACTGCAAGCAAGTACAATTCTATAGCTGATCACATCAATTTCTAATGCTTCACAATGGCCAATTAATCACTACTAGTAGTACATTACATAGCTGCTATCTATTTACTTTTCTGATAGTAATAGAATTTTGCTTGTTGCAGAGCAATCCTAGGAAGTGTAAGTGACTACTGCGCCCACCATGCAAAATGCCCCGTTCTTATTGTCAAGCCGCCAAAGGAGATCACTAAGGAGACCAGTAGTAAGAGCAAAGAATGGAACGCTGATAAATGATAAGCGCTGCCATTTCAGAGATCTCCGAGCAGCTATGATTGTGTGACTATGCATGCTTGTTGTGTTATGCAGTGTCCTTGTAACCAAGTCAGAAAAACCTCCTTGTGCCTCCCTGATATTATGTACTTTCGTGCGCGCTGTTATATATTTTTCTGATCAAGTTTGGTTTATGCAACGCTAAGTTTATCAACTCGCACGTCAACATGTTAGAGATATAATCCGCAGAATCTATCGCTGATGATTCCATGTCTTGGCATGGATAAATAGTATGTGTGTGGGTAATATGGTGCAGGTTTACATCAAAACTACGTGAAAGAATCTAAAGCAGCATCAATTTTGTTGTTTTATCCGAAGTACTTTCAAACGATTTAATGCAAAACAAGGTATTATATGGGATTGATAATTAAATGGAATAGCCTTCCGAAGATCCTTAACACTGCACCTAGTGGAGCTAACAGCAATGTTTTTGTTCACATCCATATATTTGCCTGCATTCGTCTCGAGTCTGAATTATCCGCGCCGATCTGCGCCTCGTGAAATCCGTAACACAATTAGCCATCCATAAGCCTCTGGTTCTCTTGTTAGCATCCTCTGGTGATATACTGATCGTTTATTGTCCGAGTTAGCTCATTTTGAAAGGCTGACACTCAACTTCAGTGACAACATTAAAACCAGAGGTAGCTATATTAGGAACACATCTTCCCTGAATAAGCTATTGAGCTTGATTTTGCTCATTTATTATTTGCAAATATCATTTCTACCAAACATGACATTAGTTTGAAACATGAAGGGAAATATATGGCAATATCCCTTTCTCCCCCAACTAGAAAACTGAAACAGGTGGTGACCCCAAATGGCGCAGGACACTCGGTGGTTGACTCACAGAGGTGTATAATTGAACTCAAATTGTGGAACAAATATAATCAACACCCCATTACTTTGTTGGCTTGGAGCTTCGTTTTTTCAACCACAGTACCATCATTCCCAGCTAGTGCCCTGTACTTATCTCTCCTAGTAAAGGAAGTGCATTCATAGGACAGGGTGGCAGCAATCACTCTTTGTATGTAGTTTGCCACCTCATGGCTAGATTTCCCACCAGTGCAGGTTAGCTCCTGTGGTAACCTGTTCAAGAAAGTTACTTCATATGCTGGGCTAGGGTTCATGAAGAAGTAAAATGGATCCATCCCTTTCCACCCTCTTGCTGTTGTCCCATGAAACATACTCATGCGATTCACCAAAGCCACTGGAACAAGTTGGTCCGTTAATTCAGCAAACAAAGCAGAAAACCTTAAAAGAAAGGGTTCGCGGCAAGTAGTTCCCTCAGGGCATATAGCTAGGTCACCTTCTTCTAACAACTTTTTGATCATGGATGCGTCTGTAGCTCGGTCACGGCTGAGTCTAACAGTTTTGATGGGTGAGATAATTTCAGAGAGACGAGAAACTGAGTACGTGACTGCTGGGATAGGACGGCCGAGGGCAGTGGAGAGAAATATTGGATCAAGCAAGGTACGGTGAGAGCAAATAAAAAGGACACCAGATTGACCGATTGATTTCTTGGCCGGGGGAGGTGGGGTTCCCTTTATGGTGACACGGACACCAAGTGCCCAGAAAGCATAGTAGACCATTGGCATAGGCAGGAGTGATCCGGCTGCAATTCTCAAGCAGGCCAAAATGAAGCCTATGGGGATCCATAGAATTGTGAGTAGTGCTGATAATGGTGTTGGTTTTTGGACTAGCCGGCCATCATGGAAGATGATTGGTTTTGGGAGCTTGTCCGTTGTCACTGCTTTAACGTCTGGCTTGGGTGGCACTATGTAGCCATCCTGTAGTTTTTCTGATCAAGTCAATCTCTCGGCTACTGCCCCAGTGATATATGAAGGAAAAACAGTTAAGAAAAAGAAAAAGAAAAAAAAGACCAGTAGACTAATTAACTAACCTTGCATAAAGCCATGAAGGGTGCATCTGTATGACGATCTCCAAGTCCAATCTCTGGCTGTGCCTCTCCAAAAGCCTTTTTGAGGGCATCTGCTTTGTTCTTCCCCACAAGTACTCCTGGGCTAAGAACAAACCCAGTTGCTCTGCCTTTATACGTAGACATCTCAGTCCCCAAAACCAAATCAGCTCCCAAGAAATCTTTCAAAAATGCTTCCACCATAATTCTTGGATTTGCAGTAAGAACACAGCGTTTTCCACAAGAAGAAAACACACGCCACGACTCAGAATGAAGATCGCTAGAGTAAAACTTAGGCAGCACAGCACGAGCCACAGACTCAATATCGGAAACCTTCATTCCGGCACATGTAGCAAATATAAGAACCTTAATACCAGCAGACTCGGACACAAAGTAATATAGAAGTCCTGCTAGCGGTGAGGCCAAGAGCAAGAAAATCAGCCTAAAAATCCCACCAGCTTCAAAGGCAAGTAGAGCAAAGTAAGGGAATGAGCTACGACCTCTAAGCAGAGTTCCATCCATGTCAGCTACAACAGTGTGCTTTTCTCTACCTATGGATGCACATTTGTCAACAGTTGGAAAGCTATCCATTGTTGCAACTATATATGCTTGGTTTCTAGTGCCTAAGATTTTGAATGAGCAACTTGGAAGTTGGTGGTGCTTTTATAGAGACGATGAAAAAATAAACTAAAGGACATGAACAAGAAGTGAGATGGTTACGAGTAAAGTGGATCGTTGGGATCTAAGAGCCAGGGTGACATGGGAGATATCTGGCGCCGATATTCCAAAATGCGCTTCAGTATGCTATGGTATAATCGATGGCCAGGTACAATTTTGAGGATAAACAATGCCAAGTTTGTGATCAAATGACTTTGTGTTCATCGCTGCCATGGTTGTCGTGTGTGTGCAATAAGCTTTGCAATACATGTCACTATCATGTCCAATGCTAGTTTCTGGAAAATGGGCGACGATAGAGACGTGACAATATTTTAACATTTAAAAAACTCACCATTGATGTGTTGATTTTGATGATTCCAATTTCTGAGACTTGGAACTTTTAAAGCATTAATCAACAATGTGGATCTGGAGGAAGATTTGAACACTTGAGAGAGAAACTTGGAGCTGGGGATATAAAAAGAAAAATATCAGTGAGAGATAGAGAGTTTGATGTGACAGAACAGCAAAAATGTTTTTTATGGAAAATTAAAAACCAGCAAGGATTAGAGAGCAATTTGGAGTGTAGTAATTATCTTTCATAATTTTAAAGGAAAGGTAGTGGAGTTCGAAGTCATTAGTTCTGGCACATACCAGGTAGAGAACTGAGTTGTTGCTTTCGTATTCGGGAGGCTCTCAAGAACGATGGTTTGATTTTCCATCAAGCACTCAGTGAGATGAAGCACTGATGGGGCCGAAGAGGTCATACAAGGGCCGCTAGCTTCCAATAAACTCACTTTCAGGGAGTTCAGGTAATCATCATCGATCATTGCGCAGAACTGAATAATCAGTGTTAAGGTTGTCATGTCGTGACTTAATTTGATGTTGGTGTGGATTAATTTCTCCATGTTTTTCTGTAACTTGATTGTTGTGTTGTGGTGGTTCACAACTGATGCAATCAATCTGCTTGCAAGAGGATGATCAAATAAATAGGGAGTGGTGTGTTTGTCGCTATTAAACTTGCATGGATTGCTTTTGTTTCTCGTAAAGGATTGCATAATGTCGTTGCAATTATTCTTAAATTTACATAGCCGTCGCTCTCATCCATTTGTCAGAAATCATGCTTGCATTGGCTTATTAGCAGATGAATAACAGGATGATACAGACTATTGTCATTATATATATATATATATAATGACAATAGTCTGTATCATCCTGTTATTCATCTGCTAATAAGCCAATGCAAGCATGATTTCTGACAAATGGATGAGAGCGACGGCTATGTAAATTTAAGAATAATTGCAACGACATTATGCAATCCTTTACGAGAAACAAAAGCAATCCATGCAAGTTTAATAGCGACAAACACACCACTCCCTATTTATTTGATCATCCTCTTGCAAGCAGATTGATTGCATCAGTTGTGAACCACCACAACACAACAATCAAGTTACAGAAAAACATGGAGAAATTAATCCACACCAACATCAAATTAAGTCACGACATGACAACCTTAACACTGATTATTCAGTTCTGCGCAATGATCGATGATGATTACCTGAACTCCCTGAAAGTGAGTTTATTGGAAGCTAGCGGCCCTTGTATGACCTCTTCGGCCCCATCAGTGCTTCATCTCACTGAGTGCTTGATGGAAAATCAAACCATCGTTCTTGAGAGCCTCCCGAATACGAAAGCAACAACTCAGTTCTCTACCTGGTATGTGCCAGAACTAATGACTTCGAACTCCACTACCTTTCCTTTAAAATTATGAAAGATAATTACTACACTCCAAATTGCTCTCTAATCCTTGCTGGTTTTTAATTTTCCATAAAAAACATTTTTGCTGTTCTGTCACATCAAACTCTCTATCTCTCACTGATATTTTTCTTTTTATATCCCCAGCTCCAAGTTTCTCTCTCAAGTGTTCAAATCTTCCTCCAGATCCACATTGTTGATTAATGCTTTAAAAGTTCCAAGTCTCAGAAATTGGAATCATCAAAATCAACACATCAATGGTGAGTTTTTTAAATGTTAAAATATTGTCACGTCTCTATCGTCGCCCATTTTCCAGAAACTAGCATTGGACATGATAGTGACATGTATTGCAAAGCTTATTGCACACACACGACAACCATGGCAGCGATGAACACAAAGTCATTTGATCACAAACTTGGCATTGTTTATCCTCAAAATTGTACCTGGCCATCGATTATACCATAGCATACTGAAGCGCATTTTGGAATATCGGCGCCAGATATCTCCCATGTCACCCTGGCTCTTAGATCCCAACGATCCACTTTACTCGTAACCATCTCACTTCTTGTTCATGTCCTTTAGTTTATTTTTTCATCGTCTCTATAAAAGCACCACCAACTTCCAAGTTGCTCATTCAAAATCTTAGGCACTAGAAACCAAGCATATATAGTTGCAACAATGGATAGCTTTCCAACTGTTGACAAATGTGCA